AAGTCGAAGACAGGCTTTTTTAAATAATTTATCTACTGATTTAAATCCACCATCAGGAAAGGGGCGCAGACTAATAATAGTACACATCGGTAGTTCAAACGGTTTTGTTAAAGGTGGTTTATTGACTTTTGAATCTACTCGTACCGGCGACTACCATGAGGACATGATGTCTTTAAAGAGTGGTTCGAACAAATTATAGATCTTCTTCCTCAGAACTGTATAATAGTAATGGATAATGCAAGTTATCACTCGAGACTTATAGAAAAAATGCCCACAACCAAGTGGTTAAAAAAAGATTTACAGAATTAGCTAAATTCAAAGAATATTAAGTTCCATCCCGGTTCTGTGAGAAAAAAACTGTATCATTTGTGTTCCCTTCATAAAGAGAAATTCAAAAAATATGAAATTGATGAAATTGCAAAAAATCGTGGGATGACGGTGGTTAGATCACCACCATATCATTGCGAAGTAAACCCGATTGAACTGATATGGGCACAGATAAAGGGAGAAGTTTCAAGAAAAAATAATTCTTTTAAAATGAGTGATGTTAAACAGTTGTTTTTGGAGGCTGTAAATAATGTGAAGCCTGAAAACTGGGAAAAGGCAGTAAATCATACGATTAAAGAAGAAGAGAAAATGTGGAAGTTTGATAATATTACTGATGAAATGATCGAGCCACTCATTGTAAATATTGGTTGCGACAGTTCATCTTCTGATTTCGATTCTGATTTAGATTTGTAGGTAAGAAGTAGTTTTTGTATTAAAATTATTATTTATGAACGTAACGTTGTTTAAAAGTCAAAGTTTAAACCCTTATACCTATATAACCCGTTTGACACAATGTTCTTAACATACTTTGTGGAAAAATAAAACATTTTAGAAAAAATTGCACTTTTTTACCTTCAGCTGTTTAGAAATTATAAGCAGGTTAATTAGGTGAAAATATAAGTGTATACTCGAGGAATAATTTCAAAAAATATTTTAACTGTCTACTAAAAAAAGTGGTACGCCTATGGATTACGAACGCTTTATTATTTTAATACTCTCTCATACATAAAAATAGACTATAATCAACAAGTTTTTGGACCATTAAGACCAAAAAATGTTTTTAAACGTTTATTTTATTTTAAAATTCGTAGAAACCACGCCTCTGGACCACAATACGTTATAGAGAAGTAATAACATTCAATAAACTGTTTAATAGTTATGTATCGTTTCCCTGAAAAAGCGTTAAAAAAAAACAGAGTTGCCCTTATGTTTGTCCGTTTAGACCAGATTGTACGGCTAGTCGGCTTGAATTTGCACATTCAGTTATTTAGTCACAGGGGTCCAGTTTGTGTCTGTCTATTTAGTGTTTATGTTTTTCAGTTGCGTCTGTATAATGTCAATGCTTTGTGGAGACATCCATGCTTTTTATGAGGACTATTTGCATACGTGATACGGAGTGTGTCTTCCTTAACATCCGCATGAAAACTATTTTAGTAGAATCTCTCAGACAATTTTATGATATACTCTTTAATAGTGAGCATGTATGTCTCTGAGTGCAAGTGTGTTATTCTGGAATAGCGGAGCAATCCCAGTGCCTGCTTTAGATAACTGTTTTATACTAGCTTGTTGAAGTGGCTTTCTGTTATTGAACAAAAGGCCTGACATCCATAAGTTAATATTGGCCTTATGACTTGCCTATAAAGCACCAATTTGTTACGTTTTAGAAGGGAATATAGTTCTAATGGCTGCTTTGGCCTTAGTAACCCTGTCATCGATGTGTTTCTTAAACGTCAATTCCCTATCCAGATGCACACCTACATATTTAATTGTATGCTGCGTTTTGATCATTTGATTTCTGATTTTTAGTTTATTCAGAATTCTATTGCTATGCATTTGAAACATTTCTTCATCTTTTTGATATAAAATGTTTACAATGATGTTCTAATAATAACAAACAAGCTAGGTTTGTGCTGGCCTTATAGTAAATCAATCCGACCATGACAATATCTTCGTTCCTGGTAAAAGACATTGTTTTTAATTTTGACTTACGCTAAATATAGCAGCACTCGCTCTTTACCTATCAGGTATTATCAAGGAATGAATCAGAAATCAAAAATAGTTGAAAGATTTGTCTGAGTTTATTTATGAATATTGTTCCCTGAAAAAATTGAAAAAACAGGGTTTTAGTTGTGTCTTTTTACTTTCCTATCTGTATACAGATATAAGGAAAGTATAGGAATCATGATTTTTTTCGACCTCGAGTTATCGACGGATTTTTACGTTTTGAGGTCCCCTAAATCCGTTTGGACTTTTTTTTTTGGCGATGGATGTCTGTGTGTGTGTGTCTGTGTGACTGTATGTCGCATAACTCATGAACCGATACACAGAAAAACACCAAATTTTAAACTTAAGCTTTATTTCAGCGTGTAATGAACTGATTAGATTTTGGGCAGAGTCGGAACATCTGGGGGGGTACTTTATAGGTGGACATTTTTATATTTTATGGAATATATCTGTTATTTACATTTGGAGAATAAAATTTTTCAAATAAAAGTTACTTCTAATATAATTATCTATAATTTTTGTTCTATACATGGTATGCTTATTTTGAAACATCGGGGAAAATGGCCTTTTCCTATCTCCTCTACCATATCTTAAAAACTGATAGAATCACAGATCTCATACATCCATGCCCTTAAAGAATAACAAGTCTGCTTTGCAGCATTTTAAGACGTTTCCCTGGCCTTTGACAATTTTTATAATCCACCAAAATACAAAATAATCATGAAATTTTTAATTCCAATATACTTATTTATTAACTATTAAACTTCATTTAAAAAAATTGCCAATTATTAACTACAATACCCTGTATATTAAAAAAAAAAAAACAAAATACAGTTTTCGCAAAGAAGGACTCGCATAATATACATATTAATCCGACCTTGACCACTATTATTTTTTGAAAGAAAGACTTCGAAGGAAAGTGCATGCGTTCTTCTTTAGAAAAGAATTTCCGACAGTAGACAAAGTTCTTGCAACGGTTCGAGATGATAAGGATTACCCTGAAATGAGTCGAAGCACACTATGGAAACTTTTAAAAGAAATAGGTTTTCTATGGAAAAAGCATTCCAGAAAGTCTATTTTAATAGAAAGAAGCGATATTCTAGTATGGAGAAGAAACTACCTAAGGTCTATAAAAGAAATGAGAAACCAAAGAAGAAATATATTTTATTTAGATGAAACATGGTTCAACGAGGGACATAAACCAAATAAATTTTGGCAAGATGAAACTGTTACAAGTCGAAGACAGGCTTTTTTAAATAATTTATCTACTGGTTTAAATCCACCATCAGGAAAGAGGCGCAGACTAATAATAGTACACATCGGTAGTTCAAACGGTTTTGTTAAAGGTTGTTTATTGACTTTTGAATCTACTCGTACCGGTGACTACCATGAGGACATGAATGCTGATGTCTTTAAAGAGTGGTTCGAACAAATTATAGATCTTCTTCAGAACTGTATAATAGTAATGGATAATGCAAGTTATCACTCGAGACTTATAGAAAAAAATGCCCATAACCAAGTGGTTAAAAAAAGATTTACAGAATTGGCTAAATTCAAAGAATATTAAGTTCCATCCCGGTTCTGTGAGAAAAGAACTGTATCATTTGTATTCCCTTCATAACGAGAAATTAAAAAAATATGAAATTGATGAAATTGCAAAAAATCGTGGGATGACGGTGGTTATATCACCACCATATCATTGCGAAGTAAACCCGATTAAACTGATATGGGCACAGATAAAGGGAGAAGTTTCCAGAAAAAATAATTCTTTTAAAATGAGTGATGTTAAACAGTTGTTTTTGGAGGCTGTAAATAATGTGAAGCCTGAAAACTGGGAAAAGGCAGTAAATCATACGATTAAAGAAGAAGAGAAAATGTGGAAGTTGGACAATATTACTGATGAAATGATCGAGCCACTCATTGTAAATATTGGTTGCGACAGTTCATCTTCTGATTTCGATTCTGATTTGGATTTGTAGGTAAGAAGTAGTTTTCATATTAAAATTATTATTTATGAACGTAACGTTGTTTAAAAGTCAAAGTTTAAACCCTTATACCTACATAACCCGTTTGACACAATGTTCTTAACATACCTTGTGGAAAAATAAAACATTTTAGAAAAAAATGCACTTTTTTACCTTCAGCTGTTTAGAAGTTATAAGCAGGTTAATTAGGTGAAAATATAAGTGTATACTCGAGGAATAACTTCAAAAAATATTTTAACTGTCTACTTAAAGAAGTGGTACGCCTATGGATTACGAACGCTTTATTATTTTAATACTCTCTCGTACATAAAAATAGACTTACTGATGATATTTTTTGGGATATTGACAAAGGGAATACAAACGTTTTAATACTTCTAGATTATACAAAAGCCTTTGATACAATTAACCACCATCTTCTGTTCAGTATTCTTCATTATGTTGGTTTTTCGATTAAAGCAACTGAATTTATTAAAAACCATTTTTCTGATCGTTCTTAGTTTGTTGAGACAAGTGCCGGTAGATCTGATATTAAAAATATTGCCTGCGGCGTGCCACAGGGCTCTATTTTGGGACCAATTTTGTTTTGCATTTACTTTAATAATATTATTTCAGCTTTTACCAATGGCAGAATTTATATATAAGCTGATAATAGATTTTCTTTATCTAATTGTAATGTTGCCCTCACTAATGACATGATTAGCACAGAAACCATTCAAATGAGGTATCACAAGCCCCTACTTCCTATTTACAAATTTAGAAGTTGCAACTGTCATTTGAACGAGATTGAAGGTAAGGGTGAAATTTTCACGTTTCAGGATGTCACTTTATAATTTAAAATTGACATGTTTCGGGATTTTTTAAACATATGCACAGTAATCGAGCTACTAAATTTACTCCATTTGGCTGTCACATACTGTATATCTATTTTCGTGACGTTTTAAACATTTTATTATAAAAAATTTCGACGATAAATTTAATCAATAATAAATAAAAAAATAATGTATTAAAATAACACTAGGTATAATATAAAAATGTAATATAAATTAATTAAATTGCTTCTGTCTGGTGACATTTATGGTCAATTCGTCTAGTTCATCAAACCGATGTTGGTATTTCTTCATCTTCCCCTTCCACATCTCTGAAAATGTAAAATTGTATTAAAAAAACTGTATACTAAATGCTTAAATTTGGCGAATATAAGAAAATATGTTCGAATACATTATTAGAAGATATAAGTTTACTAATATTAAAAGAACAAGAATTTTGACAATGTCAGTAAACAAATATCGTGCTGTAGTGAACAAGACATATTATAAGGGACACAAAAGGATTTAATATCCTCTATTGTCATGTAAATTTCATTATTCCCGTTTAGTTTACAAAATTATTTACATGTTTTAAATAAGCTAAAATAATTCAACCTATTTTATTACAACTGAACCCAAAAAATGTTAAATCATTAGTTATATCAAATTTAACTAAATTAGATAAAATAATTCCAAAACCTAGTTAATGTCAAGTATTTTGTGGCAACGGAGCTTACATGGGTTTGCATTTTATATCTTTACAACAGCTTACACATATATTAATTAAATTGTTTTGTACCGTCGTCCTTCCCTTACCTCTCACCACATGTCTCTTTACTCCTGATCTACAACTGGACCCTATCGACTGTGGTATTGATGTTGGTATAACGAATATTATATTTTATCAATGAAGACCTATACAGGGTGTTATTGAAATACACGTACATATTAAAACTGGGTATTGCGCAGATCCCCACTGAATGTAGAAAAATATTATTTTTTAAAAATACCCCTTATTAAGGGAGTTATTAATTTTTGAAAATTAATTCTAAAACAAACGTACTTCACTGATATGTTGAGGATGACCTATATAAATTAGGTTTATTTACCTATTTTAAACATCAACAGTAATTAATATGCAAGTTTTTGTCAGATGATAAGAAAACTAGTCTTGTAAGAAATAACCATGTTGCCAAGATTTTCGAATTAATTTCTATTTCCGAAGACTGGTTTTTACTACCCTCGTTATCAAAAAACTAGAATATTTGATAAATGATTGTTTTTAAACTATACATTTTTGAAACTATAGATTATTAAAATTTTAGTTGATTTACGAATCTGGCTAACACGAGCGCGTCATTTCCAAGTTGGTAAAAAGTGTTGTTACGATTACTTTTAAATATTTTTTTACGAATATTGAACTAACGGATATAGTGCTGGTTTATGGGGCAGCTGGAGAAAATTCTCGGCAAGCACAAATCCTGTATCGCGAACGGTTTCCAAATCGGAGAATTCCGGACTGTCGTACGTTTATTTCAACTGTTCAGCATCTAAGAGACCATGGAAAATTTGAGTGTCAATGCAGATCGAGGGAGAACAAGAACACAAAGAACATTGGCGGCCGAAGAAGAAATATTGGAAGCTGTTGAAAACCGGCCTCAATTAAGTTGTAGAAGACTAGGTCTTGAAATTGGAGTGTCCTCATTTGTTGTGTGGCGGACACTTAAAGAACAAGGTTTACATCCTTATCACATCCAAAAAGTCCAGGCCTTATATCCAGGTGATGAAGAAAGGAGAGTGGAGTTTTGTGAATGGATGATTCAAAAATGTGTTGATATTCCTGATTTTCTAAAAATATTATTGTATACTGACGAGGCTTCATTCACTCGTGATGGCGTGTTCAATATGCACAATACGCATATTTGGAGTGAAGAAAATCCTCACGCCATTAGGGAAACTGGGCATCAAAGAAAATTTTCAATAAATGTTTGGGCTGGCATAATAGATCAGTATTTAATCGGGCCTTATGTTCTCCCGAACAGATTAAATGGGCCAGGATATCTCCACTTTTTAGAAGATATTTTGCCAGTACTCCTAGAAGAGATACCGTTACAATTAAGGCAACGGATGTGGTACCTACTAGATGGCGCTCCTCCTCACTTTGATTTAAACGTACGGCAGTTTTTGAACATTAGATTTCCTCAAAAGTGGATAGGCAGAAATGGACCTACTAAGTGGCCTTCGAGATCTCCGGACTTAAATCCATGCGATTTATTTTTGTGGGGTCACATGAAACAACTGGTTTATAATGAACCTATTAATAGTGTTGAACAATTAACCAATAAAGTTAATGCGGTAGCCGAGGAACTACGACAAAATACAAGACTAATTTCTAATGTTCAAAGTTCTTTGGAAAGACGATTGCAAATGTGTGTAAATAATAATGGACGGCATTTTGAACAATTACTGTAATAAACTTTATTTTGAATTAATTGGTTTTGCTACGGCAACAGTGCAATTACTATGGGTAAGTTCAATTTCGATTTATTTTACTTCTTTAAATATGGAAACTAGTAGGTCGGAAAAGGGGACTCTTCCCCAATATTTAAATTTTAGAATTTGAAGTTAAAATTGGTGCCAATCGTTTTTGGTCATTACATACTATTCCCCATTTTAATATGTACGTGTATTTCAATAACACCCTGTATATCTTGTTCATAGCCATCCCCGACTTACCTTCTAATTCTTCCACAGACTTTTCATTACCACCGTAATCTTTTGGTAAAACATCTAAAGGTATATAAGCTAATAAGCTCGACAACGAATCATGGAAGTGGATCTGAAACGAAATAGTTTTCTTTTAGTTTTAGGTACTTGTAAGAAACAGTCAACTGTCAATCGCAGAAAGATGATGTGGCTTTCAAATGAGAAAGAAATCTTCAAGAAATGAAGCGAGTACTAATATTGTAATATTCATTGTAGCCTCATCGGTAATTTGATGATACGAAGCTAAAAGCATAACTACTGGCAGAAAATTAGACAAGATACAAATATTTTCCTTTCTAACAATAATAGAGGCTTTTATTAGTCCACCCATTGCAGCAGCTAGGTTTTCTCTACTACACCTTGTATTGGAAATTAGAGACTATAGCGAATATTTTTATTTTTGAAATATATTCCATCTTCTGCATTGCATGGTTCGATTTAGGATTTGATGTGTGCCGTATTAATGGAAATTCAATTTCTGTTGATATGACATGCAGATTATAAAATCGCCATACATTATCGTCTCGATGATGGTGGGTGAGGTTTTCCGGGTTTTCCTCACCTGTAAGTCAAATGGCACCATCAATCATCCTTAAGTCGCCCCGGAGCGCCACGTCAAATAATAATAGCCGTCCCTTCCCCTACACAAGTCGTTCAGTCGACTTCAGGGGTTGAAATTCACTCGTAAGGGGGTGAATTAGGGAGACTATTATTATTATTTGCTTGTATTTATAAAATAGCAATATCGTCATCAAATGTAGTGATTTGAGGTTCATTATTTTTGGTATATCATTCGTAAATAGTAGATACTAGACAGTACCAAGGATGCTTCCTTGTGGTACTCCAGTTTCCTATTGTTTCATTTTATAAAACCTATTTGTTATATACGTTTTGACAACTTGTGCAAATTGCTTTATTGAAATTTGTCAAATTTTAGTCCTTTATCCTTTAAATAATATATGATGAACTCCCCTAATAATGTTTTTGCGCTGCTTAGAATGTCCTTTCGCATCCTTGGAGGAAAGGTAAATGGTTATTATCAAGATCCGTGTATTTTCTTCTAATTTATCTTTACTTAGATAGATGAGGTCTTTTCTAATAGACGATTTGTGATTGACTAAATAACACACGTTAATCAAAAAAGAAGACATAGATTTTCTCAATTAGATCTGTAATCCTGTGACATGATCTATTCTAATTCGAATTTATGATCCTTCATTAGTTTTTTTATGATTACTCATCACTGGTAATAAATAAATAGGCCTATATGATTTAGATTCACTTGTTGGTTTTCCAGGTTTCATAAAATATTAAAATATTTTTTATTTACAATTTCTAGACTTACCTTTTTGTGTAAATTCTGGCTGATTAGCGGTTGTGCTAATTTGAACAACAAATTGAACAGTATAGAATGATTAATAATGTGTATCTCTTTTAAACGATTGTTGTAGACTTTCTAAAAATAAAAAAATAAATGTAATGAAAATCTTTCTTTCAGACAACATGTATGCCAAAAATTGCATATATATTATTCATGTATATTCATCGGATGTTTTTCTCGGGTATCTTCCAATTTAAGAGGGTTTCGTTTGTTATTCGTAAAAGTATGACATTTCAAAATTCAGAGATGCTTTTTTTTTAATAAAGTAGGTATGTAGAGCTATCATGTAAAGTTATAGGGTGTTTCATACAGAATGGATAATAATTTATCTACATAATACTCTGTAGAGGAGAAATTTTTCATTTAAAAACAGAGAAAAATACAGGGTGTTATTGAAATACACGTACATATTAAAATGGGGAATAGTATGTAATGACCAAAAACGATTGGCACCAATTTTAACTTCAAATTCTAAAATTTAAATATTGGGGAAGAGTCCCCTTTTCCGACCTACTAGTTTCCATATTTAAAGAAGTAAAATAAATCGAAATTGAACTTACCCATAGAAATTGCACTGTTGCCGTAGCAAAACCAATTAATTCAAAATAAAGTTTATTACAGTAATTGTTCAAAATGCCGTCCATTATTATTTACACACACTTGCAATCGTCTTTCCAAAGAACTTTGAACATTAGAAATTAGTCTTGGATTTTGTCGTAGTTCCTCGGCTACCGCATTAACTTTATTGGTTAATTGTTCAACACTATTAATAGGTTCATTATAAACCAGTTGTTTCATGTGACCCCACAAAAAGAAATCGCATGGATTTAAGTCCGGAGATCTCGGAGGCCACTTAGTAGGTCCATTTCTGCCTATCCACTTTTGAGGAAATCTAATGTTCAAAAACTGCCGTACGTTTAAATCAAAGTGAGGAGGAGCGCCATCTAGTAGGTACCACATCCATTGCCTTAATTGTAACGGTATCTCTTCTAGGAGTACTGGCAAAATATCTTCTAAAAAGTGGAGATATCCTGGCCCATTTAATCTGTTCGGGAGAACATAAGGCCCGATTAAATACTGATCTATTATGCCAGCCCAAACATTTATTGAAAATTTTCTTTGATGCCCAGTTTCCCTAATGGCGTGAGGATTTTCATCACTCCAAATATGCGTATTGTGCATATTGAACACGCCATCACGAGTGAATGAAGCCTCGTCAGTATACAATAATATTTTTAGAAAATCAGGAATATCAACACATTTTTGAATCATCCATTCACAAAACTCCACTCTCTTTTCTCCATCACCTGGATATAAGGCCTGGACTTTTTGGATGTGATAAGGATGTAAACCTTGTTCTTTAAGTGTCCGCCACACAACAAATGAGGACACTACAATTTCAAGACCTAGTCTTCTACAACTTAATTGAGGCCGGTTTTCAACAGCTTCCAATATTTCTTCTTCGGCCGCCAATGTTCTTTGTGTTCTTGTTCTCCCTCGATCTGCAATGACACTCTCAAATTTTCCATGGTCTCTTAGATGCTGAACAGTTGAAATAAACGTACGACAGTCCGGAATTCTCCGATTTGGAAACCGTTCGCGATACAGGATTTGTGCTTGCCGAGAAATTTCTCCAGCTGCCCCATAAACCAGCACTATATCCGTTAGTTCAATATTCGTAAATAGTGGCATCGTAAAAAAAATATTTAAAAGTAATCGTAACAACACTTTTTACCAACTTGGAAATGACCGCGCTCGTGTTAGCCAGATTCGTAAATCAACTAAAATTTTAATAATCTATAGTTTCAAAAATGTATAGTTTAAAAACAATCATTTATCAAATATTCTAGTTTTTTGATAACGAGGGTAGTAAAAACCAGTCTTCGGAAATAGAAATTAATTCGAAAATCTTGGCAACATGGTTATTTCTTACAAGACTAGTTTTCTTATCATCTGACAAAAACTTGCATATTAATTACTGTTGATGTTTAAAATAGGTAAATAAACCTAATTTATATAGGTCATCCTCAACATATCAGTGAAGTACGTTTGTTTTAGAATTAATTTTCAAAAATTAATAACTCCCTTAATAAGGGGTATTTTTAAAAAATAATATTTTTCTACATTCTGCGCAATACCCAGTTTTAATATGTACGTGTATTTCAATAACACCCTGTATTAATAATGTATTAAGTACACTGCTTAACAGTTCAATAACTAATTAAAAAGTGGGATGAACATAACTTAGATAATATTTTTTATACAGTGTTCCTCAAAAGTCGCTTTTCCCCCTTTTTTCTTTTTAACGGTGATACTTAGACTGATGAAATTTGGAGGCTGAAACTGATCTGTTGGAAGCTTCAATACTAGTAATAAAAGGTGACGTAATAGTTAACGATGACATCTTAATACTGAATAGTAACTAATGGAAGTGACACCTCGTTTGAAAGGTATTTAGAATACCTATTTAGTCATACTAATTTTGTTTGGATTCGGGGTGATTTTGATAAAAAAAAAAAAAATGCGATTAACTACTATTTTAGGAACTATATAATACTTATAAGTACCTCTAATAACAGTTTCACCATCTGCGCATGTCTTGGAGTAGTTCTAATTACATGCGTCAAATGTAAATTTTGATAATCCAATATAAGGACGTCTTCGTAAGTGAGATCTTCCTGCATTCTTATTTCGTATACGTTTAATACATTTCCCATCATGCAATCGGCATCAAATTTGTCACTTTTACCTTCTTTTAAACCTACTATTATCACCCTGTATAGTCCGTCAACGAGTTTGGGTAGCGGTAAAACATATCTGAAAAACAAGAAAGGAGTTTTTTATAGGTAAAAATCACTGTCAATAGCGTGTAGGCATTGTATAAAAAACTACTAGTAGTAACTTATGGAAGTATAATTGGATACTGCTAACAACAGAATTCTGGGGAAAACAGTTTAAGAAACACTACTTATCTAATACAGAGTGGATAAAAAATAATAAAAATACATGCATTATACATTGTTAAAAAAATAAACGAGATAGTTTAATAAATCGACTGCCACATAATATTATTTAATATTTTTTTAATTTCATATCAAAGGCGGCTCCAGGGAGGAGGCCATGGCCCCCATGGCAGTCCAGATAATAAAATTCTTACAATCCACGTGCCCTTTAAAAAATATATATGCTAAAAAGAGGTAGGGGAGAGCGGAGCACAGGGGCCATTTTTTTTTAAATTGATAAATTATCAAACAATTCAAAATTTTACACAGGGTCTATTGAAACATAAGACTGTTATTTATTGCAGCAAGTATTTATTTTACTTAAATAACTCTAGGTATATAGAAAAAATGTTTTTCTTACATGTAAAACCTAGCCACTGTACCCGACAGTCAGGGATACAGTGAACATAGTCATGGGGTACAGTGGTCACACCTATTATACACCGTGTCCCACGTAAGGCGGGCATTACAACTTTATGGAGAATAAATTAATTTGTATTTTTGCTATTTTCTGAGTATACATAATCGAATATGCTCTTTTGAATTAAAATAAAATGAACTCTGTGCAACTTCCGGTTATACCGGAAGTGACCACTAACTTCGTTATTTTAAAGGGAATACCCCATATTTTTTTTTAATTTTAGATTCAGCATGAAATTCTGTAAACAACGATACCCCATTTGCATATTCTAGTTATAGCGGATTTGGCGTTATTCAATTTTTTTCTACATTTTTAGTACCCGGTAGACATTTTCTTAAAGTCGTCTATCTCAGGTACTATATCTATCAGATACTTAAAATTTTAACCAGAGGTAGGAGATGGGATGTACTTCTTGAGAATATTTTGTTATTCATTATTTGTTGTACGGGGTGTTTGCAAATTATTTTTAAAAATGAAATTTTTTAAACATAAAAAACTTTTTTATTTTAAAGGGAACACCCTATATATTTTTTAAATTTAGGATTCAGCATGAAATTCTGTAAACAATGATACCCCATTTGCCTATTCTAATTATAGCGGATTTGGCGTTATTAATTTTTTTTTAATTTTTAGTCCTCGCGCCGGTAGGCATTTTCTTAAAGTCGACTGTCTCAGGTACTATTTCTGTTGGATACTGGAAATTTTAGCCAGAAGTAGTAGAAGGGATGTACTTTTAAAAGCATTTACAGTTTTCTGCAACAAAATATGTCGTTTAAAAAGTTTAAATTTTTTTAATGATAAGGTACATACTAACTAAAAACAATTTTTATTAAAAGCACATGGTTTAAAAAAATCATTTTATCAAATGTTCAAAATGCCCCCCGTTAGCTTCTAAACATTTTAACAATCTTTTTTCAACATGATTAGTTGTTGCTTTACGAATCATTTCACCATCTAACTCGTTAAAGGCATTCCGAACTCTTTGCTCTAATTCTTCTTTAGTATTAATTTGGGTAGAGTACACTAAATTTTTAATATGACCCCATAAAAAAATCAACAGGAGTTAGATCTGGCGATCTTGCAGGCCAAAGCCAAGGACCATTTGGACCTATCCATCGGTCTTCAAAGAGTGCTGTAATTTCTTGATTTACATAGTATGTTGAATGTGCTGGGGCACCATCCAACTGGTACCAAAAATTATTATTTGGTAGCTGGTTTAAAATGTCGGCAACTACTTCTCTAAGAATTCTAATGTATCTTTCTGAGGTCAGTCTTTCATTATAAATGTAATAAAAAGCTCTTCCAAAACCGATCACTGCAAACACATTAAAACTAAATTCGTACTGAAATTGTGCTTCACGATAAAAATGTGGATTTTCGTTTGCCCAGAAATGACATTGCTTGCGATTGATGATCCCTTTACGTGTAAATTTCGACTCGTCTGACCACAAAATTTTGTTTAAAATCTCGGGATCTTCTTGAATTCGTACCAATAACCATTCGCATAATTCAGTTCGTCTTATTTGATCACCATCTCGCAACTCATGAACTTTTCTTTGTGCATAGGGATGCCATTTATTTAGTGCTAAAATTCGTTGTATTGACCCTCGACTAATATTTAAATTATCTTGAGCCATTCTAATGGAGGCGTGAGGATACGCAGTAAAATACCCTAATACGTTAATTAGATTAACTTCTTCATCTCGGACATAATGTTGACGGTTTCTTCCCGGGTTTTGTTTAAAATTATTCAAAAAGTTAGCTTCGATTCTATCAAATTTCTGTCTGTTCATTGGTGGTAAATGAGGGTATCGTTCATTAAACATGCGGCAGGTTCTACTTTTGATTCGATTACATTCTCCATGAATGTAAAATAAATTAAGAATATCTTGGTTGGTATATTCTTCAATATTTTCCATATTTTCCATATTTTGAACGCAAAAAATACACAACTTAAATACATAGAAATATGACAATTCAGTTTGTTGACAGATTGTTGTTTAGCATATTTCCACGGCATACTAAGATAAAAAATTAAAATGTAAAACTATACTATATTATGTAGGTGCATGCGTAAAATTTAAATTTAAATTTTCTTAAAATTGGCGAGAGATAATTATAGGGAATTAATAGTGCAAATGAAGATCAATGAAGAATAATTTTCTGAACAAAATGAAATAAAAATATACAGGATTTTCCATTTAAAATAAAAAAATTTTTCATGTTTAAAATATTTATTTTTTAAAATAATTTCCAAACACACAGTCGAACAAACGATGTACAAGTAAATTTAAAAAAGCAAATGTCTGCCGGCATATAAAAGTTTATAAAAAACTGAATAACGCCAAATACACTATAATTAGAATAGGCGAATGGGGTATCATTGTTTACAGAATTTCATGCTGAATCTAAAATTTAAAAAATATATAGGGTGTTCAATTTAAAATAAAAAAGTTTTTTATGTTTAAAAAATTTCATTTTTAAAAATAATTTGCAAACACCCCGTACAACAATTAATAAATAACTAAATATTCTCAAGAAGTACATCCCATCTACTACCTCTGGTTAAAATTTTAAGTATCTGATAGATATAGTACCTGAGATAGACGACTTTAAGAAAATGTCTACCGGCGACTAAAAATGTAGAAAAAAATTGAATAACGTCAAATCCGCTATAACTAGAATAGGCAAATGGGGTATCGTTGTTTACAGAATTTCATGGTGAATCTAAAATTAAAAAAAAAATGGGGTATTCCCTTTAAAATAACGAAGTTAGTGGTTACTTCCGGTATAACCGGAAGTTGCACAGAGTTCATTTTATTTTAATTCAAAAGAGCATATTCGATTATGTATACTCAGAAAATGGCGAAAATACAAATTAATTTATTCTCCATAAAGTTGTAATGCCCGCCTTACGTGGGACACGGTGTATATATACACTGTAACAAAATATAGATCAAATAGAACAATAAAACAGCTGGTTTATTGCAATATAAAAACATAGGTATTATGGTACATTAAAAGAACTAAGATCATCTGGAAACTTATACAAGTGACTACTTCAAGCGGTGCCTCCACTAAGTATTGTAAAGCAAGTTCCACGTCATCCAAGTTAACTGTTGCCACATCTTCAACGTCTGGAAAGACAAACCTTCCAAGTTTGTGTCTCAAATAAGAGACTGTCAATTTAATGTAACCCATTTCTTGTATTTGCGCAACATAATACTTCATAGTTGTTTCGTCGCAAAGGAGAGTATCGTTTTACTAACATAGAATCTATAAAAATTCTTTATTATGATCTAGTTAGACAAAAACTTGAATTTGGAGCTGAGTATGGATGGGGGAACATCCAACTAATCTATATGAGATTGAAAAAATACAAAATAAATTAGATATGAAACACAAGTACATATTTATTCTGTAGTTTATGGAGAAAATATTTATTAATATATAGGGTGTATAGAATAAAAACTTACTGAGCACTGCAAGCCATTTTCATTCGATTTGTTTTGGGATTAATTGCTTGAAAAGCACTTGGAAACAGTTTTCTAATGTTATAGTACATACTCAATCTCTCCTTTGTTGTTTCGATACTAAATCGATTACTCACAATAAAGTATTCGATCATATGTTTACCTAAAACATAATATACAGAGTTTATTATTGATGGTTTTATGACAAAAATACAACTATTTAATTTTTTGGAATTATGGGAATATTATTTCATTTTAAAAAGGTTTAGTTTACAAGACAAAAGAAAAAGAAAAAGGTGAGAAACTATTTTTTTGTTTTACACAAACACCCTGTATGTATACAGAGTCTCACTACCAATGATTAAAATTTAATTAAAAATTATCAGTTACAATTATTACATCGTCTATTTTAAATCCATCCCTGGTTAGTTTTTTATTATTACAATTTTGGACAAAAAAAATTTGTCTAGTGTTCTTTATTTTATGAATAACTAGTTAAGAAACTGGATTTGGTAATTTTTCTTTGTTTTTGTTCATTTTTATTGTTTTATGAATAGATACAAGGTTATTATTTAAAACAAAATAAAAAATTTTAACGTGGTTGCAACGAAATTTCATAATATGTTACCCATACAAGGTTGTTAAGTATATAGAATGATTTTGATCCGTCAATATTTAACTAAATTTAACTAAAAAAAATAGTTTAAAATATTAAGAAATTTAGGAAAACTTTTGTTTTTTGAACACCCCATTTTGTTTTTGTGGAAACCCTTAAATATACAAGGTTTGAGAAAATTTTAATAATAAATTCTATTGGTGGTAAGTACATTTATTATTGTTTCTGAATAATTTACCTTTAGATAACTAATTTAAATAACCTTAGTAGATTATTTAAAAAAAATAGTTGTGGCCAACGATCGAATTTTGTGCCCAGAGATCGAATTTTGTGCCAAGTTCAATGATGTTTTTTTTGTCTTAATTGTGACATACCTACTTTCTCATTTTTGTTAGTTATCTGACTTAGTCATTTAATATCCAAATCAGTGTAAAGGTGATAAATATCCCCGTTTTAAGAGTATGAACAGTTCAATTGGTATTAATTTTTATTTCATATTTTTCAGGTGCAGAAAAGCCAACTGAGACTGAGGGCGCTATTATTACTGTTGTTATTTATTACATAATGTAATTAAGACTGTATCTTTTATATTAAAACAATAAATTGAATATTTTATTAAGGAACATTTTTTTCTAGGTTATAATTATAATAATTATGGAATACTACTACAAATTTTATTAAAAATTACTACAATTTGTATGAATTTTTACTATTTATTGTGTAAAAATTTTGTATTTATTTTCATAAAACGCAATACATTTTTAATATAAATTCATACAATGAATAGCAAAAATTATAACAATTTGTAGAACAATTCTTATGATGCATTTGGATATTTTTACTAAATATTGTAGATAATAACTCTACAATACATTCTCCACAAATATTTGGAAATTTTTACTACAAATTGTCCCTGTCCCTATATGTACTATTTATTGTAGAGAAAAAATCTATTATTGTAGAAATTTGTTCTACAATTTTTTTTCCGTGTAGGTACCTTCTTTTCATGAAATTTGAATATATATTATTGAGTATTATTTCGGTATGTAGGTACTTTATAAAATGTTTTTTAAGTTATTTGCAATTGTTATGTAAATGGTAAAGTTATCTGAGTAAATTAACAACAAGGTATATAACAAATATTTTTTTAATACCTATAAATCACCCAACTGTGCGCTCATCAGAGTCTTAAAAGGGATTAAAATAAGGGTAGTCCATTTTTACTTTCCACCAAACTGAGCGGCACAGAGTCATAACTATTGAAATACTCAGTATATTTTTTTATGTTTGTTACATATATTTTCGATCTATTGCCCAAAGAAACAACTTATCAGCTGTAAGAGAAATCCAGGTCCGGATTTACAAAATGTCTTTAAATTATTGTTCCTCAGTATTTAAAAAATTTCATATTTTCATATTATTTGGAAAGAGCACGAAAAGGAATAAAAAAGTTTAATTTTTATTTTCTACTATACTGTTTTATGATTTAATTTTTGTGTATTTAGTAAGTTAGCTAAAATGAAGATATAAAGTGTTTTCAATCAGATTTTTTTCAGATTCAGTAGGCTTCATTCCTTTTTACTTTTAATCAGATTTGTCAAAAAAAAAACAGGGGCTTCTTACACTTTGGTTTTCGATATTATAACATTTAATTTATATGCAATAAATAGTATAATATTGCCGTATTCTTTATAAATTCTTTTAATTTTTTTATAGATAATCCAATAGTTATTGAAAATAGTTAACTATTTATACTTTTAATCAATACATTTTTAAAACTTACTTGGTATTTCCGGAATGTGATTCTGTTTACACAGCCAGTTCTTTACTAATTGTACATCTGCATTCAAATCGTTCATTGATCTACCAAATAATCCTAGAATCCTTTGTTTCGTCCTTTCATCCATTGTGCAAGACATCTTTTTCAGGTTTCTAATCAACATAACAAATCAAGTCACTTCAACATTCAAACTGCTGTACGATTATTTGTCCGATCAAACATTTTTGTTATACTGAATTTGTTGATTTTTTTTCTATTAATTTTTATTTTGAATACGTGAAATAATAGTGGTCAAGGTCGCATTAATATGTATATTATGCGAGTCCTTCTTTGCGAAAACTGTATTTTGTTTTTTTTTTTTTAATATACAGGGTATTGTAGTTAATAATTGGCAATTTTTTTAAATGAAGGTTAATAGGTAATAAATAAGTATATTGGAATTAAAAATTTCATGATTATTTTGTATTTTGGTGGATTATAAAAATTGTCAAGGGTCAGGGAAACGTCTTAAAATGCTGCAGAGCAGACTTGTTATTCTTTAAGGGCATGGATGTATGAGATCTGTGATTCTATCAGTTTTTAAGATATGGTAGAGGAGATAGGAAAAGGCCATTTTCCCCGATGTTTCAAAATAAGCATACCATGTAGGCAGCCATGTTTGCAATTTAAGCGTACTACGCACATGCGCAGTTGCTGTAGTGTTTCGACAGAAGTGTCATTTATGTCATATTTCAAAAATAATTTTACGAACAATTTACCGAATAATACCAAGCAACAAATAATAGAGGATATTGTCAATGATATTAGGCTCCTCTTTCCGCAGGATATTCAAACGAATCAGAAAGTAATGCTCACCGAAGTTCTAAGACTGCGGAGTAGAAAGGCACCGGGGTAAGACAAATAATCCCATAGGAACAATACGGTTTTCGACCAGGAAACGGTAACATAGCTCAGATTGATATAGAATTGCTCATCAAGCTAAAGAAACCTTCAATAATAAAAACACATAGTTATGGTAGCATTAGATACGGAAAAAACATTCGATACCGTATGGACCTGTGGGCTTATATACAAAATGTTTATAAATGATTATACTATTTATATTGTAAAAACGATTTTATCTTACTTACAAGACAGAACATTCACATAATGCAATAACGAAAGTACTTTAGGGTTCTGCACTGTCGCCGCATCTGTATACTATATGACCTATGATATGCCCATGGGAACTTATGGTATACAGACGGAACTGTACGCCGATGACACCTGTGTGTTCAAGACATCAGACACAGCAGCAATAGCAAACACAAGGCTTGACATCTATATCAACAGAACGTTAATCCCATATCTAGAAGCAAATAAGATGAAACCCAATCCCACGAAAACTGAAACTGTTATCTTTACTAAAAAATATAATAAACAAATAAAAGAACAAATAATAGATGCACAGGATTCCATCAAATATCTAGGGATCCGATTAGATAGGGGATTTACATTCGGCCTCCCATAAAGTACCCCCCCAGATGTTCTTCGGACTTAGAGAGAGATATGCTTTATTGTCGTAAAAAAATTTACAAAAATTTTATAGACAAAGCGTGTAACTTAAATACTAAACATATTATAAAAATAACTAAACAGCAGAAAAAACAAACAGAAACAAACAGACAAAATAGGAATAACAATTGCAATGGATATGCAATATCCGTCATTATAATTATTCTAATTTAATTTTTAAATTTAAATTTAAACTTTAATATTTAATTATTTAATTAATGCCATTGTATGTGGAACTCAAATGTCTAAGGTACGTTATAAAATTCTGCTACTGTGTAATATGGTCTTTCTAGAAGAAAAGCTTTAGCCAGTCTTCGGAACTTATCGTATGTATTTATAGATTTTAATTGCATCGGAAGGTTATTATACAATTTTTTGGCATTGTAGGTAATGGAATGTTTTAATAGGTCAGAAGTGGGCATTGTTAAATAAACATCAGTCTCTAAATTTCTTGTAGGATATCTACGAGTCGGTCTTTCGGATAAATTTTGAATGTGCTTGCGAACTAAGCAGACGGATTCGAAAATAAATAGAGCAGGAAGGGTTAGAATTTTGAAATTTTTGAAGTAATTTTCGCAATGTGTCCTACTACTTAAACCAAATACATAGCGGATTGCTCTTTTTTGCAGTTTAAAAATAGATTCGAAAAGGTATAAGCTACAAGAACCCCAGAAAGGTAAACCATAGCGAAGGTGAGATTCAAATAAAGGAAAAGTAGGTTATTAATGCAGTAGAAGGAGTCAGCTCTTTAGAAACCGATTTAATGGCAAAACATGCGGAGAATAATTTTTTTGCTAGGGTATCTATATGAGCAGACCATTTTAGAGAATCGTCTATATAAAGACCTAAAAACTTGATTGAAGTCACCGTTTGGATCAGATTATTGTTTAAAGTTATAGGTTGTAAAGTACCTCTGTAAGACAATGCTACAGTTTTACTGGTGTTGAAACAAAGTCCATTCGAATCAGACCAGGACTTAATAGTCACTAGATCTTCACTTATGATAGATTGTAATGTCTGCATGTTAGAATTATTTCAGGTTACACTGGTGTCATCAGCAAATAAAGTAATTCTACCACTTATTCTTAAGTCTGTGATGTCGTTGATGAATAATAAAAACAAAATTGGACCTAATACTGATCCTTGAGGTACTCCACTGCTTATTGCTAGATTTGTAGAATCCTCACCATTCGCCCGCACCTGTTGATTTCTATTTTCTAGGTAAGTTTTAAACCATTGTAAAGGAGAATCCCGTATGCCATAAATTTGTAACTTATTAATTAAAATATCATGATTTACACAATCGAAGGCCTTTGCGAAGTCACAAAATACTGAAGCGGTGAAAAGTTTATCATTAAGTGATGTGTATATTTCATTAAGAACGGAAAACATTGCGTCGCTAGTGCATTTTTTAGGTAGAAAGCCATACTGATGAGCTGTGAGGATGTTATGCTTGAAAAGAAAGGGCAAAAGACGGTTTTTCATTAGCCGTTCTACTATCTTCGATAAGGTAGGCAATAACGCGATAGGTCTATAGTTACAGGTTTTGGTTTTGTCGCCACCTTTATGAAGTGGGATTATTATAGCTGTTTTTAGACAGTTAGGAAAGAGACCAATTTCAAAGGATTCATTAATCAGTGAAGTTAAAATGTTGATTACTACATCCGGTATATTTAGAAATATTTTGGTGGACAGGCCATCAATTCCACAGGAAAATTTATTTTGGATGTTGTTTATGGTTTGCACTAGTTCATGCTTGTCTACTGGTCTTAGGAAGAAACTTTCAGTGATCCTTTTAGTAGGTAGGAGGAAGGAGAGAGCATCCTGACTCGGAGCTATGTTAGATTTGATATTTTTACTTACATTTACGAAATAATTGTTTAGTTCATCTGGGCTAGGATTTACACTGTTTGAAGAACGGGTTTTATTCCTTAAGTCATTTATTATAGACCAGGTTTCTTTGGAGGAGTTTTTAGCTCTTGCGATGCGATTTTTGTAATAGTTTTTCTTAGCAGATTTGGTGATTTTCCGATACAATATTCTGTAGTTGTTGATATAGTTTAATATTAGGGGATTATCTGTGTACTTTTTAATATACATGAGTGACCTCATATTTTTAGATGATGTTCTTATTCCTTTAGTTGTCCAAGATTTATGACATTTAGTTTTAATGGGGCGAAGGGGGAAAGCTGTATTGAAACACATAATTATTTTATTTAAGAAGTCTAAAAATTTAGAGTCAATATCTTCAGAAAGACCATTCCAATCAGTAGTTAGACATAAATTATAGAAATTTTTGAAATTATGCTTAGAGAAAATTCTACCTAGCTGACGGACTTTTTTTGGAGCTGTACGGGGTATCAAAAATTTGGCAAATACTGCTTCGTGGTCTGAGAGACCTGAGCTAATTACTTGGTGCTCTACATCAACGGGTTTAAAATCAGAGACTACGTAATCTATAATTGTAGATGTTGTTTCTGTGATTCTAGTTGGAGAATTTACGTGCATAGTGAGACTGAATGATTCAAAAATATTGATCAAAGACTTTTGAGTAGCACATACATTAGCAAAGTCAATATTAAAATCGCCGCATAAAATTTTCTTACTTTTTATAGGCAATGCGTCAAGTAGATTAAGAAGATTCTCTAGAAAGAGGTGAACATTTGATTTAGGTGTTCTATAAATACAAATAATAAACAAATCAATGTTTTTGTTGTTTACAATGGAAAATTCGAAGAAATTTTCAGCTTGTAGAAAGTCGTATTTAGTTACAGCAGAAAAGTCCTTGTCTAAGGATAAAATTAGAGTTCCACCATGGTCTGTATTACTTCTATCATATCTGCTGACGATAGTATATTTTTCGACAAAAACTGGTTCACCAACTTGTAACCAGTGTTCTGTAATAGCAACTATTTGGGGAAACCCTAACTCTTCCAAAAACAAATACAATTCATCTTTGTCCAAAATCTAATCATTTCACGTCAGGCCGAAATAAAACTTAAGTTTAAAATTTAATGTTTTTTTCTTTATCCGTTTTTGAGTTTTCTTCAAAATTCAAAATTTACACATTTACTCAAATATCTCGAATACAGTCCATTTTAGAGAAATTATGTATAAAATAAAAATTATAGAGAATTATATTACAAACAACTTTTATTTGAACAATTTTTATAAAAAATTATTTTTTTACTTTTTGTCAAATTTCTCGAATACGGGCCATTTTAGGAAAATTTTGTATAGAACAAAAATTATAGATAATTATATTAGAAGTAACTTTTATTTGAAAAAATTTCTTCTCCAAATGTAAATAACAGATATATTCCATAAAATATAAAAATGTCCACCTATAAAGTACCCCTCCAGATGTTCCGACTCTGCCCAAAATCTAATCAGTTCATTAGACGCTGAAATAAAGCTTAAGTTTAAAATTTGGTGTTTTTCTGTGTATCGATTCATGAGTTATGCGACATACAGTCACACAGACACACACACACACAGACATCATCGCCAAAAAAAGTCCAAACGGATTTAGGGGACCTCAAAACGTAAAAATCCGTCGAAAACTCGAGGTCGAAAAAAATCATGATTCCTATACTTTCCTTATATCTGTATACAGATAGGAAAGTAAAAAGACACAACTAAAACCCTGTTTTTCCAATTTTTTCAGGGAACAATATTCATAAATAAACTCAGACAAATCTTTCAACTATTTTTAATTTCTGATTCATTTCTTGATAATACCTGATAGGTAAAGAGCGAGGGCTGCTATATTTAGCGTAAGTCAAAATTAAAAACAATGTCTTTTACCAGGAACGAAGATATTGTCATGGTCGGATTGATTTACTGTAAGGCCAGCACAAACCTAGCTTGTTTGTTATTATTAGAACATCATTGTAAACATTTTATATCAAAAAGATGAAGAAATGTTTCAAATGCATGGCAATAGAATTCTGAATAAACTAAAAATCAGAAATCAAATGATCAAAACGCAGCATACAATTAAATATGTAGGTGTGCATCTGGATAGGGAATTGACGTTTAAGCAACACATCGATGACAGGGTTACTAAGGCCAAAGCAGCCATTAGAACTATATTCCCTTCTAAAACGTAACAGTCGTGTAAGCCAAGACAACAAATTGGTGCTTTATAGGCAAGTCATAAGGCCAATATTAACTTATGGATGTCAGGCCTTTTGTTCAATAACAGAAAGCCACTTCAACAAGCTCCAGGTAGTACAAAACAGTTATCTAAGGCAGGCACTGGGATAGCTCCGCTATTCCAGAATAACACACATGCACTCAGAGACATACATGCTCACTCCGTATCACGTAGGCAAATAGTCCTCATAAAAAGCATGGATGTCTCCACAAAGCATTGACATTATACAGACGCAACTGAAAAACATAAACACTAAATAGACAGACACAGACTGGACCCCTGTGACTAAATAACTGAATGTGCAAATTCAAGCCGACTAGCCGTACAATCTGGTCTAAACGGACAAACATAAGGGCAACTCTGTTTTTTTTAACGCTTTTTCAGGGAAACGATACATAACTATTAAACAGTTTATTGAACGTTATTACTTCTCTAAAACGTATTGTGGTCCAGAGGCGTGGTTTCTACGAATTTTAAAATAAAATAAACGTTTAAAAAAATTTTTTGGTCTTAATGGTCCAAAAACTTGTTGATTATAGTCTATTTTTATGTATGAGAGAGTATTAAAATAATAAAGCGTTCGTAATCCATAGGCGTACCACTTTTTTTAGTAGACAGTTAAAATATTTTTTGAAGTTATTCCTCGAGTATACACTTATATTTTCACCTAATTAACCTGCTTATAACTTCTAAACAGCTGAAGGTAAAAAAGTGCAATTTTTTCTAAAATGTTTTATTTTTCCACAAGGTATGTTAAGAACATTGTGGCAAACGGGTTAGGTAGGTATAAGGGTTTAAACTTTGACTTTTAAACAACGTTACGTTCATAAATAATAATTTTAATACAAAAACTACTTCTTACCTACAAATCCAAATCAGAATCGAAATCAGAAGATGAACTGTCGCAACCAATATTTACAATGAGTGGCTCGATCATTTCATCAGTAATATTATCAAACTTCCATATTTTCTCTTCTTCTTTAATCGTATGATTTACTGCCTTTTCCCAGTTTTCAGGCTTCACATTATTTACAGCCTCCAAAAACAACTGTTTAACATCACTCATTTTAAAAGAATTATTTTTTCTTGAAACTTCTCCCTTTATCTGTGCCCATATCAGTTCAATCGGGTTTACTTCGCAATGATATGGTGGTGATCTAACCACCGTCATCCCACGATTTTTTGCAATTTCATCAATTTCATATTTTTTAAATTTCTCTTTATGAAGGGAACACAAATGATACAGTTATTTTCTCACAGAACCGGGATGGAACTTAATATTCTTTGAATTTAGCTAATTCTGTAAATCTTTTTTTAACCACTTGGTTGTGGGCATTTTTTCTATAAGTCTCGAGTGATAACTTGCATTATCCATTACTATTATACATTTCTGAGGAAGAAGATCTATAATTTGTTCGAACCACTCTTTAAAGACATCATGTCCTCATGGTAGTCGCCGGTACGAGTAGATTCAAAAGTCAATAAACCACCTTTAACAAAACCGTTTGAACTACCGATGTGTACTATTATTAGTCTGCGCCTCTTTCCTGATGGTGGATTTAAACCAGTAGATAAATTATTTAAAAAAGCCTGTCTTCGACTTGTAACAGTTTCATCTTGCCAAAATTTATTTGGTTTATGTCCCTCGTTGATCCATGTTTCATCTAAATAAAATATATTTCTTCTTTGGTTTCTCATTTCTTTTATAGTCCTTAGGTAATTTCTTCTCCATACTACAATATCGCTTCTTTCTATTAAAATAGACTTTCTGGAATGCTTTTTCCATAGAAAACCTATTTCTTTTAAAAGTTTCCATAGTGTGCTTCGACTCATTTTAGGGTAATCCTTATCATCTCGAACCGTGGCAAGAACTTTGTCTACTGTCGGAAATTCTTTTCTAAAGAAGAACGCATTCACTTTCCTTCGAAGTCTTTCTTTCAAAAGATTTTCTAATTGAAATTTTGGTTTTCCTGGAGCTTTACGTGCTGTTTGAAACTCGCCACATTTCTCTTCTTTAACAACTCTGTAAATCGTAGATTTCCCAACACCAAGCGTACTACTAACTAATTCCACTGTGTCGTCAACACTTTTACATAAATGTTTGTCTGTAAATGATTTAAAACAATTAAGTATTAATGTTTTTTCATTAACTGTTAAAGGACCGATTTTTTGTCGTTTACGCGGCACTTCCAAATTTTCCATGATCACACTAGAATTCACACTGCACCTTGCAAGTTGTAACTAAACGACATTTAGTAAACTGTCAAGAATACACAACTTGGACCTCCTTACTAAATGGAAAACCTATAATCGCATTTTCGGTGAAATTTGTTGGGAAGGTATTTATCTACTTATAATTCGATTACTGTAAGAAATTCTTGGAATTAAAATAAAACAAAATAAGTACTTATTGAAAATAATCTTAAGATACGGCTATGTAATCTTTAATACACAGGGCGTTTGGCCTGTCCAAACCTTTTTCCATTGTTCTGTACAGCTTATGTTTATAAAGGACCAATAAAAGACCCAAAACTTGTAATAGCTCAGGTACATTTATTACAATTTTAGGAAATATTTAGATTATTCTGTAAAAATATTTAAAATAACCGTACTAAGTTTTGCATTAGAATGCTGTTTTATTACTCTCTCATACATAAAAATAGACCAACAGACACAATTGCTAAGAGGAACGTTCCATTACCGACGCTCACAAAACTACCTCAATTGCCATATAATATCTGCAAAAAAGGAGATGGCACCTTAAATTGTTCATGTACATAAACATCTTGCATTAATTATTACAAGTACGAGACGACGCCCTTATTTCTCCAGCCCAGGCCGGAGGACAGGGGCGAACAATTTCGACAAATCAGACAAAAATGTAGATGTAAAACTTTATTGTAAATAAATTATTTTTCATTTCATATACTTTTATTTTCGGACGCGGTCCCTTATTAAAGTGGAACAAAATTTTTAAAAAATTTATGAGCACCTTATCCATGTAACGTGTGTGGCTCACGGTATTAATAGAGTTGCAGAATGTATTAGATTTCAGTTTTCAGTTGTTAATAATTTGATAAGTAACAATAAAAAAAATTTTCTCAAATCTCCATTAAGAATTCAATTTTATAAAGAAAATCTTATTAAAAAATATAACCTCTTATTTTGGGGTAATTATACCTATCTATTATTTGAACTACAATAAGAAATTAAATGAAATATTTTTTATAATTCTAAACTAAGTATGAAAGAAAGTGCGAGAAGCTTAATAAAAAATCAATTTAACACACGAAAAATATTGTAATGGTACTCACTTATTATTACTACACCTAATCAAATTTCCAATGTTTCCAACTATGTCATATACTTTGAGAACAGGTATAAACTAACTATATTTTAATTTTATCGATTTAATACCATTCATAGAATTACCTATAACTAATTACTTTATGATTAAATTTCACGTCTATTAGCATACAATAATAAGATATTCTTTATTGTTATGTAGGAATTTATAAAATGATCAAAAAATATATATAAAGTGATCGGCAAAAGCAAGGTTATATCTGTAATAACTACACATGCAATTGAATGAAAGTCAAACTGTCATTTCAAAAAGACAAACAATTTTATAAACTGAGACATACATGATATTTTTCATATTATAAAAGTACCTGATAGAAATGCTATTTATCGATTCTACACAAGAAAACTCATTTTGACGTATATTTAATCTCAATAACTAAAAAATATACTGACAATTAGTTCCACAGAATTGTCAGTTGATTGGTAGATTTCATTTTTTTGCAATTTTCTTACAAGACAGAACGGATATGTAATATATTCGTTCAGATGAACGCAATGGCATGTGTGTAAATAAGCTAATATCCATGTTGGTGTAGAAAAAATACTTTTACATATAATAAAAAGCCGTAAAACGTCTTAACAAATATCTAAATATGATACTAAAGAACGTATAAATAATAAGTGCTTGCAAATTATTATAGGATTAAATAAATATGTACATACCCAAAAACAAGATAATAATTATTCAAAAATGATCGTGAATCACTTAAAAAACATCAATAAGTCTAGTACATTATCATCATGGACAACAACAAAGTTTTGGAGTATTTAAAAACATTTAAATGTAACTGATCAGTAAAAAAAATATTCAAATGCTGTGAACAGATTTGTCCCTTTTGTATCGCAATCGCTTTTTTTTACTGTGATTACAATTTTTTTATGAAAATTAAATAAATATTTGCAAAAACATATTCACATGATAATTGTTGGCATAAATAAAAATATGATGAGTCTAACACATGACCTTCTTATAAAATTATCAAATATATTTATTTTGACCATTTGTTTAAAATGTGTTTATATTTAATATGAATTTAAGATAAAAATTATTTATAACATTTTTTTCATATGTCATTACCAACGAAAATACTTAAAAAAATTCAAATTTCTCTATTTTATGGTTCATTTTACAAAAATCTTGTAAGGATCAAAAATTATATTTGAATTTTTTTACTAACTGTATAGAATTTCCTCCAATTGTGATGTTTATTAACAAACTAATTATAATTCGAAAGTTTTCATTCTTATTCATTGATTAACGTTTTTTGAGGGTGATCTAGTGAAATTATTTTTTAAATAAATGATTAACTACATTTAAATTGACTTTATTTATATTCTAAGGTGAAATAGTAAAGAATTTTTACTTTCCTATCTGTATACAGATATAAGGAAAGTATAGGAATCATGATTTTTTTCGACCTCGAGTTTTCGACGGATTTTTACGTTTTGAGGTCCCCTGAATCCGTTTTGACTATTTTCGCGATGATGTCTGTCTGTCTGTGTGTGTGTGTGTGTGTGTGTGTGTGTGTGTGTGTATGTGTCTGTATAACGCATAACTCATGAACCGATACACAAAAAAACACCAAATTTTAAACTTAAGCTTTGTTTCAGCGTCCAATGAGCTGATTAGATTTTGGGCAGAGTCGGAACATCTGGGGGGGTACTTTATAGGTGGTCATTTTTATATTTTATGGAATATATCTGTTATTTACGTTTGGAGAAGAAAATTCTTCAAATAAAAGTTACTTCTAATATAATTATCTATAATTTTTGTTTTATGCAAAATTTTCCTAAAATGGTCCGTATTCGAGAAATTTGAGAAAATGTAAAAAAAATAATTTTTTATAAAAATTGTTTAAATAAAAGTTGTTTGTAATATAATTTTCTATAATTTTTGTCCTATACATAATTTCTCTAAAATGGACCGTATTCGAGATATTTGAGAAAATGTGTAAATTTCGAAATTTGAAGAAAACTCAAAAACGGATAAAGGAAAAAACATTAAATTTTAAACTTAAGGTTTATTTCGGCCTGACGTGAAATGATTAGATTTTGGACAAAGTCGGAACATCTGGGGGGGGGTACTTTATGAGAGGCCGTTTTTATATTTTATGGAATATATCTGTTATTTATGTTTGGAGAAGAAAATTGTTCAAATAAAAGTTACTTCTAATATTATTATCTATAATTTTTGCTTTATGTCAAAATTTCCTGAAATGGTCCGTATTCGAGAAATTTGACAAAATGTGCAAAATTCTGATTTTTATGAAAATTGTTGAACTAAAAGTTGTTTGCGATATCGATTTCTATAATTTTTGTTTATATATGATTTTTTATATGATTATATGATTATTTATTTATTCACTTTTATCATTAACTTCTGCTGTTTATTTGAAGTATTATTATTGTACTTATGTTGTTCATTTAATAATTTAAAAAGTTTATAATACAATACATTGACTTTAATAATGTGAATTGTCCTTTAAAAGGACGACCGATATTTGAAAAGAAAAATCAACATAAATTTATAATATTTTTATTAACCACAGTAACTAACATTCAGTATATAAATAAATATAAATTGAAAACTTTAAACAACGAGCTCACCAAATCTTAAATTTGTTAAAATATCCAAAATATTTATTTATTAATCTATATTTAACTTTTTAAATGTTCCCTGCATACCAGATCCATCGATATCTTTCACTGGATCAGGTCGTTTATCTTCGTTTACCCTTAACTTGTCTAATATATCAAATCGGTCTGCGTATTCATCCATTTTTTTCCGCCACAAATCTGGAAAATCAAAAATTATATGACGCACTTAGTACAAATGAAAAAAATGATAAATAGGAATATTTTTCTCGAAGGATTCCAGTGACTTGCTTTATTTTTAAATATTTTTCATTACCTACTAATTTTATACAATATGTACGAAAAGTATCGTACCTAACTTTCTAATTTTTCTATTTCTAAAATAATTTTTTTAAAAAAGTACGCTGAAATAAATCAAGATATTCAGTATAAGTAAATTGAAAATATTTCATATTACTTTTGTATAAAAAACTACTAGTAGTATCATCTAAAAATGATATACCCTACTGTATACTCATATGTTGTCATAGAAGTACCCAGTTCAGTTGTTTCATTAAATTAAACCCATACCTTGTATTTCATCTAAAGAAATTTCATTTCCTCCATAATCTTTCGGTAATACGTCCAATGGAATGCTTTTTCTAAAAGTTTCCATAGATTCATGCATAACTACCTAAAAATACATACAAGTATATTTTATTACGAAGCGTCAGCAAGTTTTTGGTCTCAATTTTTTACTTTGACTGCCCTAGAATCAGTTTACAGTGATGTGCTGAATTCAGTGTCATAGGAAATCTCTTTTTTATCTTAGTCGGGATTTTAACTGTGTCTAGCATTACATTTTAAGAGATAAATTATATACATATTCTAAAAAGACAATTAAATAGCTTTATTAATAAATACAACCTTATTTTGCAAAAGTATCTAATGTATTTTTTGAAAAATCAGTTTTAACACTGTTCAAATCAAATTTGTTATCCCAACATAACAAATAACTGTTATATTTGTTATACTTTTTTAGATATACTCACTTTTTCTAATAATTTGGGTTTCACAACCAACTTTGCTAATTTTAGTAGAATATTAGCAATGGGATGAAAATTAATGACGTGAATTTCTTTTATTCGATTGCTGTAGACTTTCTAAAAATAATTGAAAAAATATATAGAATAGTAATAAAAATATAATAAGTATTTATGTGTAATTTTTGACCAGTTTAGAAATATTTTAAGGTTAGGTAGGTATTTAATAAAATCGTCAACAAATGGACATCATAAATTTAAAAAATAAAACGACAAAGATAAGGAAATGGTGATTTTAATTTAAAAATAGTTTGACAATTTATGTATAAGCTCTATCAGACCTTTTTTTTTATTTTAAAAAGTTTTAAAAATAAACAACTACTTTGCATAACCAATCATTAATCACTTATCATATTATTATCTAAACATTCATTTACTTCTGATTAAAATTTGTTTCGAATGATTTAATTGACACACTTATCACTGTAGTAAATATCTGTAATTTTCTTTAAATCTTCAATTTTAGAAATATCTGTCAATTACTAATAAAGTTATATATTTATATACTCAATTAAATTTTTTAATTGACGAGTTATTTCCTGTTGGTTTTTAAATGCATCCAAACTATTTATTATTTAACAGTACATATTTAGGATCTAGTGGTTCTCAAACTTATTTTGCCCACCGTCCACTTTGTGAATAAACATTTGTCTATCTATCTATACAAGTTAATTTTTATTTCAGTAATTTGTTATTTTTGAATTTTCCAACATTTTAAGAAAGTTCCAGCCCACTGTACGTCACTGAAATTTTATTAATTTTAAATATTTTATTTATATATCTGTCAGATCAGAAATTTCAGGTGTGGAGAGAAACGTTTCAGCTTAGATTATAGAAAGTAATCTGAGGTAACCAAATCTATAAATGTGACTATAATTGTATCTTCACGACAGGCTGTTTTAGAAGGATTATCTACAGGTTTGAAGGTTCCTTCGGGTAAAGGACGACGTCTAATTATAATTTATATGACGGATTTTCAAAACGTGGTTCTTTAATATTTCAATCTAAAAAAACCGAAGGCTACCATTAGGATATGAACGCTGATGGTTTTGAAGAATATTTTCAGCAGATGAACATTTACTAAAGGGTTCAGTTATAGTAATGGATAACGCTATTTACCATTCTTGTCTAATTGGACATGTGCCACATACTTTATGGAAAAAAGGTGGCTAACAGACAGACATATTAACTTTTCTAATTTTTAAACTTTCCTTACTAAACTGGTTTCAAAAAATGTCACCAAACACATTTTAATATATTAATATCCCGTGAGTGGGTGCGGGACATCGAGATAGCCTGCAAGATCACCAGAACTTACACTGTTTGAATTTTTCTTACCTCTAAAATGGTAGCTCCTATTTTTCCGTGCATTGGAGTAAATTTCAAAGCCTGATGTAATTGCAAATGTTCGCAATCGATGATGACGTATTGTCTGGATGCCAGATCTTCTTGGATACGTATTTCTTGAACGTTGACGATTTTTCCCAGAAATCCTTCAATATTAACTTCGTTGGCAGGAACTTTTTTGAATTTTATTAAAAAAGCTCTGTCTAAATCGTTTATAAGTTCTGGTAAAGGAAATATGTAACTAAAAAAAATATTTAGTTGATAAAATGATTCAGATATTAAAGAAGTGGAATGATAAAATATTAAAATACAACAATTTAAAATATGTTTAATATTTAATTAGTTAATTTTGCTAAAATATATGATAATCCTGATGTAAATATAATATTTCTAGTTTGTTTTTAATAAATTTTACCTTGTATCAAAGTTTAATCTCATCTTGAGCAGTTTTGGATTAATACCTTCATAAAATTCTGGCATTAAAGACCGTATTGTGTAGTACATTTCCAACTTTTGTTTAGTTATTTCGATACTAAATTTGTTGTTTACCAAAAAGAATTCAATCATACTTTTTGCTAAAAAAAAAAATTAATAAATAATAAGAAAAAATATTAGTAATTTAAAGTAGTTTCTTTTTTTAATAAGTACTAAAAAATTAGAAAAAAAAAGTTCTTTTTACTGCTTAAATAGATCATAATCATATTTTTCAGATTTATAAACTATTTTAATCAACTGAATCATTTGTATTTTAGGAATTGCCTGTTTTGAAGTGATTTTGGCTGTTTATTATTCTCAAAAAATATACTAAAACTGGAAATTAATACCACAAACAATTTTCGAGTATTTAAATAATAGAACTAGGTTTAATCAATCGTCACCACCATTAAATAAAAATTGATTGAAAAAGATTAAAAGTAGAAAATACATCGAATTCTATAAAGTAGTCAAAAAAATTTTTAACGCGAAGGAGAGTGATGTTCTAAAAAATCAGTTTTATAAGATGTATATGAATATTTTCAAGAATGTCCATACCTGGAAAATACCCACAGGAAATGAGACCTGTGGTACATTATTCTAATTGAAAAACTTTATTTATGATTGAATATTGTTTTGAGTGGAACTGAAATAACTCGCAAATTGTATTACAAACTAAACTCAAAATAGTTGTAAAATCTTAAAGATTGTACTTACTTGGTATTTCTGGTAAGTGTGGTTGAACATTAAACCAATTTATTAACATTTCAATATCTTCAACTACTTCATTCTCTGTTTTCCCGTACTGACTAAAAATGTTTTTTCTAGAATTTTTATCAATTTTTTTTAAAATAGTACTCATTTTTTTTTATTTCAAAAAATATCTAAATCTAAAATTTTTATGTCGATCCAACTAATTTCTATTACAAAATAATGAAAGTAAGAATCAAGAGTTAAATGTTTCAAATTAGATAAAACTGCATTGTCAAATGCAAGTTATAACTCATGACCTTGATTGTTGGTTGGTGCGGGTGTATGGTATAATCATAGAAAATTATATATTTCCATGTCCATTAGAGGCATTTATTATAATAATATTGATTTTCAGAAAAATCAGGATGGATTATTTTTAAACGAACACATAGGAGGAAGCAGGGACAAAACCAATTTGAAATCTGGATTATTTTAAACGGCATTTTTTCCTTCTATTCTAGTATATTAAAAAAGTTTTACTAATGTAATTCAAGAAAAAATTGCCGAAGATATAATAAATGTAATTGTTGAACAGTTACATTAATATAATGTTTCTTGGCAATAATACAATCTACTTTGGAAGCTGCATAGAATTGTTGATCCTTACAACTTTTTCCTAGAACCTGTAGACAAAAAGAAATTAAAAACATAATCAATTCGTTCAAACCTCACAAGGCACCAGGTTCTGATAACATTAACATTTATAATCAACAAAATTTTTGAAACGGACATATGTCCTTCCCTCTTTAAGCAGTCAATAGTAATAGCAGTTTATAAGAAAGGATATCGGAAAAATGTATGTAATTACAGGCCAATTTCTTTAAATACCTGTATAACTAAGATTTTCGAATCATCTTTATGTTTTGTACAAAACATAATTTAATTTCTAATAAACAATATGGCTTTAGAAAAGATAGATCAACTATAGACACTTCAAAAATTTACAAATTCATAGATACAGGTACCCCCACAATAGGTATATTCCTAGATTTGGCCAGCGCGTTTGACACAGTGTCACACACTCAGTTGTTAAACACCTTGAAAAATATAGAAATTAGAGGCATATAGTCTTTCTAGACCCAATCTAACACGGTATAATAACCAACTAGCGCCGACTTTAAAGGAACCGCGCACATGGGCGTACCGTTTTTATTATTAAAATTAAATTACATTATTGATGGGTATAGTTCTTTCATTATTAATTGCAGAATATAAAAACTCGTTTCGAACCCTTACTGATAATTTTGTTTGATCTGTCATAGGCGTAGATGCTTCAGTTTGAGTGTAGAACCATGTTTCATCTAAATATACTATATTTCTAGTGCTACTTCTGAAAGGGTGAAATACGAAAAAAACGAAATATAAAAAAAACCAACAAAAAAAAACAAAAAAATAAAAACAAATAAAAACCAACAACAAAAAACGAAACGAAAAAATAAACAAAAAAATAAAAACAAATAAAAAACCAACAACAAAAAACCAACAACAAAAAACCAAACGTACAAACCAAACGAAAAAATAAACAAAAAAATACAAACAAAAAAAAACCGAAACAAACGAAAAAACCAACAAAAAAAATACAAAGACAAATCAAAAATAATAAACAAAAAAAAACAAAAACAAATAAGAAAACAGACAAAAAAGAACTATAAAAAGCAATCATAAAAAAACAAGAAATGTTGCTCTTAAATCTTGACAATTGTAGAAGGAATCCAAAGCACAAAAACTGATAAACAAAAACATGTTCTTTTGTTTTTAATAACACAAAATTAAATAAAATTTACAAAAAAAACAAACTAAAAAACAAAAAAAAGCAAAAAATAAAAAAAAAACAAATAATGAACAAAAAAACAAACAAAACAAAAGAAACAAAAAACAAGAAACATAAAAAAGAAATAAGTATAAAGAAAAACAAAGAAGAAAAACAAAAATTAAACAAACTTAAAATCAAACAAAAAAAACAAACAGAAAAACACAAAAACAAACAAAAAAGCACAAAAACAAAAATATACAAAAAATAACACAAAAACGAGAAAAAATATAAAAACAACAGAAACAAAAAAACGAGAAAAAACAAGAAAAACAAAAAATACAGAAACAAAAACAACAGAAACAAAAACAACAAAAAGAAAACAGAAAAAAATAGAAAAACAAAAAACAAAATAAAATAGAAAAAACAAAAAACAAAATAAAAAACAAAACAAAAAAAAACCAAAAATATATATAAAACCAATAACAAGAAACCAAACGTAAAAACCAAACGTATAAACAAACGAAAAAACGAACAAAAAATAAACGAAAACAAAAACAAATAAAAATAGCAAACAAAAACATAAAAATAACAAACAAAAACACAAAAACAAATAAGAAAACAGACAAAACAGAACCATAAAAAGCAATCATAAAAAAAAACAAAAAATGTTGATCTTAAATCTTAACAAAGGAATCCTAACCGCAGAAACTTGAAAAAAAATGTTTTTTGTTTTTGATAACACAAAATTCGAAATTTACAAAAAAGCAAACCAAGAAACAAAAAAAGCAAAAAATAAAAAAACCAAAAAAACAAACGTATAAACAAACAAAACAAAAGAAACGAAAAACAAACAAAAAACAAGAAACATACAGAAAAGGAACAAGTATAAAGAAAAAAAAAATCAAACAGAAAAAACAAACGTAAAACCAAACAAAAACAAAACAAAAAATAACAAACAGAAAAACAGACAAAAACAAAAATATACAAAAAAAAACGAGAAAAAAAAACAAAAAACGAAAAAGAATAAACAAAAAACGAGAAGAAAAACAAAAAAATGCAGAAACAAAAAAACAACAGAAACAAAAACAACAACAGAAACAAAAAAAAGCAAAAAAAAAACAAAAAAAAGTAAAATTTTCCAAACTCTTGATTGTTCTTTCCACATTACTACTAATTACTGTATACAACTTGATATAATCGTAAATAAAAGCAATACTGTTTATATAGTTATCTAAGAGAAACTAGTTTATATAGTATTTTATTATTTTCTATTAGTCAGGGAGCTTGTATATAAATTAACATCTTATAAATGTTGGTCACAGGAAGAAACTATAGTCTATTTTTATGTATGAGAGAGTAATAAAACAGCATTTCTAATGCAAAACTTAGTACGGTCATTTTAAATATTTTTTACAGAATAATCTAAATATTTCCTAAAATTGTAATAAATGTACCTGAGCTATTACAAGTTTTGGGTCTTTTATTGGTCCTTTATAAACATAAGCTGTACAGAACAATAGAAAAAGGTTTGGACAGGCCAAAAGCCCTGTGTATTAAAGATTACATAGCCGTATCTTAAGATTATTTTCAATAAGTACCTATTTGCCAATTTTGTTTTATTTTAATTACAAGAATTTCTTACAGTAATCGAATTATAAGTAGATAAATACCTTCCCAACAAATTTCACCGAAAATGCGGTCATAGGTTTTCCATTTAGTAAGGAGGTCCAAGTTGTGTATTCTTTACAGTTTACTAAATGTCGTTTAGTTGCAACTTGCAAGGTGCAGTGTGAATTCTAGTGTAATCATGGAAAATTTGGAAGGGCCGCATAAACGACAAAAAATCGGTCCTTTAACAGTTAATGAAAAAACATTAATATTTAATTGTTTTAAATCATTTATAGACAAACAGTTATGTAAAAGTGTTGATGACACAGTGGAATTAGTTAGTAGTACGCTTGGTGTTGGGAAATCTACGATTTATAGAGTGAGAATGTGGCGAGTTTCAAACAGCACGTAAAGCTCCAGAAAAACCAAAATTTCAATTAGAAAATCTTTTGAAAGGAAAGACTTCGAAAGGAAAGTGCATGCGTTCTTCTTTAGAAAAGAATTTCCGATAGTAGACAAAGTTCTTAACACGGTTCGAGATGATAAGGATTACCCTGAAATGAGTCGAAGCAAACTATGGAAATTTTTAAAAGAAATAGGTTTTCTATGGAAAAAGCATTCCAGAAAGTCTATTTTAATAGAAAGAAGCGATATTGTAGTATGAAGAAGAAATTACTTAAGGAATATAAAAGAAATGAGAAACCAAAGAAGAAAAAATATATTATATTTAGATGAAACATGGATCAACGAGGGACATAAACCAAATAAATTTTGGCAAGATGAAACATGAATGCTGATGTCTTTAAAGAGTGGTTCGAACAAATTATAAATCTTCTTCCTCAGAACTGTATAATAGTAATGGATAATGCAAGTTATCACTCGAGACTTATAGAAAAAATGCCCACAACCAAGTGGTTAAAAAAAGATTTACAGAATTGGCTAAATTCAAAGAATATTAAGTTCCATCCCGGTTCTGTGAGAAAAGAACTGTATCATTTGTGTTCCCTTCATAAATAGAAATTCAAAAAATATGAAATTGCAAAAAATCGTGGGATGACGGTGGTTAGATCACCACCATATCATTGCGAAGTAAACCCGATTGAACTGATATGGGCACAGATAAAGGGAGAAGTTTCAAGAAAAAATAATTCTTTTAAAATGAGTGATGTTAAACAGTTGTTTTTCGAGGCTGTAATTAATGTGAAGCCTGAAAACTGGGAAAAGGCAGTAAATCATACGATTAAAGAAGAAGAGAAAATGTGGAAGTTGGACAATATTACTGATGAAATGATCGAGCCACTCATTGTAAATATTGGTTGCGACAGTTCATCTTCTGATTTCGATTCTAATTTGGATTTGTAGGTAAGAAGTAGTTTTTATATTAAAATTATTATTTATGAACGTAACGTTGTTTAAAAGTCAAAGTTTAAACCCTTATACCTACATAATCCGTTTGACACAATGTTCTTAACATACCTTGTGGAAAAATAAAACATTTTAGAAAAAATTGCACTTTTTTACCTTCAGCTGTTTAGAAGTTATAAGCAGGTTAATTAGGTGAAAATATAAGGAATAACTTCAAAAAATATTTTAACTGTCTACTAAAAGAAGTGGTACGCCTATGGATTACGAACGCTTTATTATTTTAATATTCTCTCATACATAAAAATAGACTATAGTAAGATTCCAAATAGATTAATTATCTAGTTGTATTCGAAATTGGGTTAAAATTAATAATTTAACACATAATATTGTAAGGCAATGCATTTAAACTATTAGTAAATTGATTTTTGTCATTAAAAAGTATATTTTTTTATCTTGTAGCTTAGTTTTGGGAGAATAATTTTGGAAAACGAAAACGAAAGTGTGTATTTTTTATTTCTCACATTTTGTACAGTCAAATTTGCTTTTCAAATAGAGAATTGTTCAAAATATGACGATATTTATTCTCGTATTCTGATCATTCCTATAGCAATGGTGTTAACTAAATTAACAAGTTTTGTTCCAAGTAACATCATATATTTTAAGTTTTCATGATTTTCGCAAAATCATAACTACACTCTATGAATCTGAATAGAATTAATTCAAGCGCGAAAATGTTATCATTAGCTCGCGTATACAGAACACACATAAACAACAGAACATTATTAGATATATTTCTTAACTTTCTAACAAAGTCGAGCCATCTTATCTCCAACAATACAACCTAAAAGTTTCAAAATAAAATTATCACTCGTAACTTCGGAGATAAAACTGTGTCAATGAATATTACAAAGAGTTCTTAAAACTTTGAGCCGTAAAATCTGAATTTAAATCGTGTACACGTATTTTCAGTCACGTCAGGTTTGGAGGACAATCGTGTGATTGTGGTATTTGTAACGAAACTGCATTAAATCAAATTCCAAGGTTTTCGAAGAATAATTTTGTTAACACTCTTGTTTAATAAGGGATCTTTTTTTAATTAGATATATCAGAAACTTAGATTAAAGAGACCGAAGATGTAACATTGCACACTGCGCATGTTGTCTATTTTAAGCCAAAGTAACCCACCAATTGAAAATCATTGTTGCACGACGCCACCCGAATTGCTCCGATTTCCATTCAGCGATCACACCTCCACCTGAGTTTAATCACCATTGACAGCTGTTTTTTGATTTATTTGTTGGTATTTTAGCAATTTAAAGTGTTCTAGTTATTCAATTTCAAGTTCAAAATGTCACGATGTATCTTGAAAAATTGTATGTACTTATAATACAAGTACTACTGTTATGAATATATTCGTTTTCAGCGGTAAATATTTATTAACGTTTTGACATAAAGCGCCATGATTCTCTGGGCTGAATACTTCAGATCCGCATTAAGGGGTTTCAATAAATATTAAGCATCAGATTTCATATTACTTACATAAATTTACAAAAGGGTAAAATTTTGAACATTTAATTTAAATAAATAGTAAATAGGCATTATTGCTAACGAAATTTTGTATTTAAAAAGTAGTTTTATAAGAATGTTTTCTAAAGGTAGTTTTTAGCCCTTTTTTTTTGGTAGATAAATAAGAGGTAAAGAATCATAGTTGCTAGCTAAATTTTATTTTTATAAGGTATTTTTATAAGAATATTAGATGAAATACAGGATGACCTACTTAAAATTTCAAGGTTCATCTTATTTGCAGTCAAATCAAAAGTGACATTGAATTTTCAGTCTTAAAACAAAGTAATCTAGTATAAGCAAAAAAAAAATACTAAAGTTACAGGAGTTAGGTCCGATTCCACCGTTGTGTTAAACGGAGATTAAAATGACAGTGTTAATGTAAAAATGTCATTTTAAACTTCGTTTAACACAACGGTGGAATCGACCCTTAGTCACGTTAATAAAATGTTACATTACAAACCCCTAAACAACTCGAACATAATTTTCGTTTACTAAAAAAAATCCAAAATTTAGCAATATTTATTTATTATACAAGCGAATGCGATTTCAAAGATAACTGGATCAAAAAATCGAATCTCTAAATTTTGGAGCTAAATGCTCAGATAAAAGCAAGCGACCGATAGGGGTTACAAAAATAATCGATTTATCGATAATTCTGATATTTTTTAATGAAAATCGATTTATCCGCTGTTTTTAATAAATTATTTTCGTTTTTTTTTAAGATAATGTATTAATCGATTTTAAAGGAAATACAAAAAAAGTAGATTTATTCAAAATAATCGATTTATCGTTTAATCGGTTTTTTAATTTATTTGATTATTTTCGATTTTTCAAAGATATTATATGAAAATAATCGATTGGATATAATCGGTTATTTTACATAATCGATATTTTGGTTATTTTTTTAAAATTATCGATTTATCAGCTTTTTAATAATCAATTATTTTCGATAATCGAATAATCAATTTCAAAGGAAATATGATAAAGGATTATTAGAAAATAATAGATAATTCGTTTTATTTTTTGGAAAATCGATTTATCATAGAATCGGCTTCTTAATTAATTGGTTATTTTCGATTAGGCGATTATTTTGGAATTATCGATTATTTTCGGTATTTCAAAGATAATCGAATTAACGATTTTAAAGGAAATACAATAAAAATAGAATATTGATAATAATCGATTGATCGAAAATAATTAATTATTTAAAATAATCGATCATTCTGTTTTTTTTGAAAATCGATTTGTCAGTTAATCGACTTTTTAATTAATCGAATATTTTTGAAATACAATAAAATAGATTATTGGTAATAATCGATATATCATAGAATCGGCTTCTTAATTAATTGATTATTTTCGATTAGGCGATTATTTTGGAATTATCGATTATTTTCGGTATTTCAAAGATAATCGAATTAACGATTTTAAAGGAAATACAATAAAAATAGAATATTGATAATAATCGATTGATCGAAAATAATTAATTATTTAAAATAATCGATCATTCTGTTTTTTTTTTAAATCGATTTATCAGTTAATCGACTTTTTAATTAATTGATTATTTTTGATTAATCGATTATTTTCGATTTTTCAAAGATTATCGAATAATCTGTTTCCATGGACGAAAAAAAATGGTTTATTTGAAAATATTCAATTATTTTAAATAAACGATAATTCTATTTATATTATATTTTGTAAACACTGATTTATCGGTTAATTGGCTTTTTAATTAATCGATTATTTTTGATTTTTCAAAGATAATCAAGTAATCGATTTTAAAGGAAATGTCAAAAAATATATCGTTTGAAAATAATCTATTGATCGAAAATAATCGATTATTTTCAATTATCGATAATTTATTTCGATAATCACTCATCCCTAGCGACCAAATGACTTTTAGTAGATTTAAATTTTAAAATGTTATCTGGTTTCAGACATATGCATTTCTAGAGTTTTATGTGACTCATCCTTTATAATAAATAATATTCTTAAAGAAAGAAGCCTTAATATACTTTTTCTGAGGTTACAATACAAAACAGCATTTTCTCATTTTGACTAATTTTTAATAATATGTAATAGCCGTAGAAAAAATATAATGTTCAACTCATAAGGGTAGATTTGCAGTATTAGCCTGCGCACATGCTATTTTTATAATACTCGTAGACAATGAGTAACATTTTTTGCTCTATTAACAATATATTCTATTTCAACATTTTACTGTAATCTTTTGCAGAAAAGTCCGTAGTAAATAAACGCTAACGAAATATTCTATAAAAGGTCTTCTCTTTACATAAAATGTCGTGGCATCTGTTTTATATTAAAAAATCACGATAATTTGATTTCATAATACAAAATTCGATTAAACACCTTTTAAATAAACCTAATAGTTCATTAAGATGCTAATAAACAAAGTCCGGTCCCTGTCACAGAGTTCGGGTCGCCGCGTGTCGCTGCCCAGTTCCCCCACTCCGTTAACCCTTCTTTAGAAATTGGCAACATTTGCGCAGGTTTAAAACCGGTGTATGTTATATCTCTGGTCTCTTTTATCTAAGATCAGAAACTAATCCTTTCTTAAACATAAAAGAAAAACAATTGATTTTGTTTACTTACCTATGAAATGACGTGTCACTTATTAAAATGTATATTTTATAGCAAACAAAACATTTTAGAGTAATTTTTTACTTAAAACTAATAAAGAAACGTAATTGAATTTCTAAAAACTTTAAAAATACGATCTGAAAACGAAATAGGCATAATTGACATCCATGACGTAAAAGTAATCAACTGTGTTTTAATAACTAAACTTTGACAAATAATTTCTCTGTTTATATCATTTATTTATAGATTATTTAACTCAAAAATATATTTTTCTAGTAATTTGTAATCGAAATAAAACAATAATCGCACTAAATTTATTTATAATATTAAACAAACTAAATTCTTACAGTAAAACAAAAAAGATAACCCTTTTATTTTCCACAAGATTAATTTAGATATTTCAGTCTATATTCAATTTTTTAAATGTCCCTTCCATTCCGAAAATTTCCAAATCTTTCATTGGAACTGGCCTGAGTGTTTCATCGACTTTTAGGGTATCTAGTTTGTCAAATCTATTTTGGTATTCCACATACTTTTGTTTCCACATTACTGAAATGAAGAAAATTTCAATTTATTATATTATAATACATAATTAGTTTATTTATTTATACGTATTCGATTATGAGATCGAAAAATGTACCAATTATGACATTCAATAATATTTTTGAGTTATGACCTTTGGCCAGGTTTACAATCTGATTATTAGTCAGATTACTTGTGTATACACTGTATTATGATATTCTAATTGTGACATTGGATATGAATTAGAAACCATACACCTATATCCGTTTATGACGATTGTTTTTAACGTTTTTGTTATTATTTCACTAAAGCAAAGAGATATTGAACTTCTATTTTGACTATTATTAGTTTTGAAACAAGTAAAATCGAAATATTTTAATTCCTTTTTTTCTTTTCAGCTGATACATGTCTGCTTATTTTTTTGTTGTGGTAATTACCCCACGCTACTCCCCTGCAAACTTTCTTTATCCAAAACACCCACCTTTCGACACCCATATACCCTCTAACACCCAACCCAACTATTCTTTCCACACTACCTCCTCTTAACTTCCCCATTCTCTATCCATCGTTTCTCTGCCTCTTGTCTCTCTCCTTATTTTCCCGTCCCCTACTTCTTTTTCATAGTAGAAATCTCTGTTGTCACAACTTTGCCAAATTGGTATTGCGTCGCATATCATTCTGTAGTTTTAAAATCTGAGTTGAGCTATTTTTTGTTATTTTCTGATATTTTTGTTAATTTTTGATTTTGTTTGCTATATATTTTTCGCTATTTTTTGCTGTGTTTTACTATTTTGTTTTACTATTTTTTATATTTTGCAATTTTTTGCTGTTTTTTTGCTACTTTTATTGCTATTTATTGCTAATTTGACTATTTTTGTTACTTTTCGCTACTTTTTACTACTTTTTTGTCGTTTTTGCTATTTTATGTTATTTTTTGCTATTTTCTTGCTGTTTTTTTTTTCAATTTTTTGCTATTTTTCTGTACCTTGAATCTCATCAATTGATAATCCATCGCCACCATAGTCTTTGGGTAAAACATCTAATGAAATATTCTTCTTTAAACTATCCAAATTTTTGTGAAACCGAATCTAAAAACATTAGTACATATTTTAAATATTTTATTTATGTATTTTATTAAAAATAAATAATAGTTTTTGTGTAAATTATATAGTTATATACAAAAAATACTTTTATATTAATCAAAGACCATTAATTTGAAATCCTAATACAACATTCCACAATAGAACAACTCCACAGGATTATAGATCAGAAAAAATGTGACAAATATAAAAAAGTACTTACCCTATCAAACATTTTGGGTTTCATAAATACTTTGGCTAATTTTAAAATGTAATCAAAACTGGAATGGTAATTAATAATATTAATTTCTCTAATTCTGTTGCTGTAGACTTTCTAAAACAAAAAAGAATAATCGTATTAAAAATTAAGGCAATCTTAGTTATTTTGAAGTTAATAACCCCGTAGGCATTAAAAACAGGCTGTGAAAAACATGTTGCGCCTGTTCAAAGTGAATTTGTTAATCGAAAAAATAAAGCTGCTACGAAAAAATACCACGTATTTTTGTCTTTGCTATTTTTTATTTCTGCTATTTTTGTTATTTATTTCTGCTAATTTTGTTATTTATTTTTGCTAATTTTGAAATTTTTATTTTAGCTATTTTTCACTATTTTAGCGACTGTTCAATTTTTTACTATTTTGTCATTATTGCTATTTTTGTTGTTTATCCTTTGCTAATTTTGCAATTTTTGTTATTTCGCTATTTTAGTTATTTTTATCGTTTGTTATTTTTGCTATCTATGCTATTTTGCTATTTTTGTCATTTTTTTTTATTTTTGCTATTTTTATTATATTTACTTTTTTATATTTTTGCTATTTTGCTATTATCGCTACTTGTGTCATTTTTTGTTAATTTTGTTAGTTTTCCCTTTACTAATTTTGATATTTTTATTTTTGCTTTGCCATTTTCGCTATTTTGTTATTTTTTGCTAATTTTGCTATTTTTGTTACTTTTATTATTTTTGCAATTTTGCCATTTTTAATATTTTTGGAATTTTTTTTGCTTTTTATAATATCGCTATTTTGCTGTTTCGTGCTATTATTGATATTTGCATTTTTATTTATGCTATTTTTGTTAGTGTTGTTATTTTTGTCGTTTGTTATTTTGCTAAATTTTTGTTATTTTCCTATTGTCCTTTTTTCTTTTTGCTATTTTATTTTCGTTATCTTTGCCATTTTTGCTATTCTGTTATTATTCTTTTTTGCTGTTTTGCTTTTTTGTTATGTTGTAGCTATTTTTTGCTATTTTGACTATTTTTACTATTTTTCTTTTCTTTTGCCATTTTTTAGTTTTATTATTTTTGATATTTTTTTATTTATTATTTTTGTTATTTGTGCTTTTTTATATATTTTTTTATTTTCGCTATTTGTGTTGCATTTTCTAATTCGCTATTTTTGTTATTTTTGCAGTTTGCTATTTTTCTATTTTTGGCTCATTTTTTAATTTTGTTATTTTTAATATTTTAGCTATTTTAATTTTTATAATATCGCTATTTTTGCGACTATTGTTATTTTTGCAGTTGTGTGTTATTTTTTGCTATTTTTCTATTTTGGTCATTTTTGCTATTGTTCTTATTTTTTCATTTTCTCCATTTTTATTATTTCACTATTTTTGCTGTTGCTATTTCTTTATTTTTACTGTTTGCTATTTTGTTATGTTCATTATTTTGCTATGTTCCCTATTTTTGCAATTTATGCTATTTTTCTATTTTCATTATAATGTTGTAATTTTGTTATTTTTGTCATTTCTGCTATTTTTACCATTGTTGTTAGTTCGCTATTTCTGTTATTTTTGTAGTTTGCTATTTTCGCTAATTTGGTTAATTTTGATATTTTTGTTATTTTTGCCATTTTTATTTTTTTGCTTTTTGCCTTTTTTATACTATTCCTATTTTTGTTAGTATTGCCATTTTTGCAGTTGTGGTATTTTTGCTCTTTTTATTTTTGTAATTTTTGTCGTTGCTAATTTTATTGTTTGTTATTTTTGTTATTTTGCTATTGTATTATTTTTGATATTTTTGATATTTTTGATATTTTTGATATTTTTGATATTTTTGATATTTTTGATATTTTTGATATTTTTGATATTTTTGATATTTTTGATATTTTTGATATTTTTGATATTTTTGATATTTATGATATTTTTGATATTTTTGATTTTTTGGAATTTTTGATTTTTTTTTATTTTTGTTGATTTTTTTGATTTTTTTAATATTTTGCCATTTTTGCTATTTTTGCTATTTTTTGTTATTTTTGCTATTTTTGTTATTTTTTTCTCTTTTTGTAATTTTTGTTATTTTAGTTTTTTTTTTTTTTTGTTATTTTGCTACTTTGCTATTTTTTGTTATTTTTGCCATTTTTTTCTATTTTGCTTTTTTGCTATTTTCGCCTTTTTGTCATTTTTGCTATTTTTTTATTTTTGGTATTTTGGCTATTGTTGCTATTTTTTATTTTTACTATTTTTGTCATGTTTGTTATTTTTGTTATTTTTTTTTGCTAATTTTTGCTATTTTGGCTATTTTTATTTTTGCTATTTTTGTCATGTTTGTTATTTTTTTGGTAATTTTTGCTATTTTTGTTATTTTTGCTATTTTTGCTATTTTTGCTATTTTTGCTATTTTAGTTATTTACGTTATTTTTGTTTACTATTTTTGCTAATTTGCTATATTGCAATTTTTGGTATTAATAAATATCCTTAATTCTTCCGGTACTACATGACAATAATGTCATTCTTTAAAAACTGAACTTGATTGAAAATTGGCATACACGAAACATTTCCGACTTAGTTTAATCAATTCTCTCAATAAATCATTTCATACTTACTTCTAAAATAGTGATAATTATTTTGGCAATCATCGGAGTGAATTTCATAGCGAAACTCATCTTCAAATTTTCACAATCAATGATTACAATATCGCTGAACATCAAATCCTCTTGTATCCTGATTTCTATCACCTGAAAAGCCTTGGCTACCAAACTTTCGACGTCTACGTCTTGAAAGGGGATGTCTTTTAATTTTATTAGTGTCACCCTGTACAGTTCGTCTACGAGCTTTGGTAGAACGAGGAAGTAACTGAAATAAACATTTTCTTAAATTAATTTGATTAAGGACCAGAGGAGACGCCAAAGGAGCATCTGGAGACTAGAATACGAAGAAGATTGACGAAAGGAGTGAGGTAGGACTAGGTAGGATGTTGAAGAAGCCTCTGAAGATCCGCAGATGAAAAATATGAGCTGAATAATGGACGTAGAACCATCGATGACGAAGGATGCGCAACAGTAGCATCGCCAAAAAGACATTAACGGTAATGTCCATTATTATTGGTCCAAATCGAATGCTACAAACGGCGTTCAGCTTAAACTGTCACGTAGCTGTCATTGACAATGAAAAAACATGCGCAGTAGCATTACTATAAAGATTTAAACCTATATTTTTGGTAATAATTGATCGATTTAAACGGAGTGAATGGCATTCAACATGAACCTGTCATTTAGCTGTCAATAACAATGAAAAAAACATGCCAAAGAGGACATTTAAACATTAGTTTGCCTACATCAAGAAGTCTGCTATAAATTTTTATTAAAGTTAACCTTCTAATTTGTAATACATAAAACAAGGAAACATTTTACCGTTTTTTAAATATTCTTGTTTACTTGTATAAATCGACATTTTTGATAATCGATACTCGCTAATAATCGATACTTACTTATAATCGAAATTATTTTTATTCCTGGTTGTTTTGGGGTTTAATCCCTGGTAAAAATCGGGAAAGATTGACCGAACCGTGTAGTACATGTCCAGTTTTTGTTTGGTGATTTCTTTGCTAAATTTGCTGTTCACCAAAAAGAATTCTATCATGTTAGTGCCTGGAAAAAAGAAACGATTTTAATTATGTATTATGTATAATCGATTTTTCCTTATGTTATACAGTGCAAAGAATCACCAATGAGATATAGTTCATTTCATAACCTTTCAGTTGCACGTCATACACGGCATCTATCTCGCTTTATCGAATTAAAATAAAAGAAATCAACAATGCGAGATCTACACGTAGATCTTAAATAACTACAATTGACACAATACAGGCATTTCATTGGCTGCCGTTTGCTATACGTCATTGCCTCATGGTCAAATTGAAATCTTGAACACGCTCTTTAGCTATTTTTGATAAACGTCAAAGTGATTGGTTATTTAACATTCAAGTTTACATAGATCAAAATGTCTAGAAATGTCATTAGTAAGTTGCTTAGGTACACGTTCATTGATTTTTCCCTAGATCTGGGGAAATTTTAAAAGTAGATCTGGCAACATCGCACCGTATAAATTAATCCATTTATTCCTCAGACACGGATACGCCGCTTCTCCAGTACACAACGCAGCTCGATAGATCCTTTCCGACACAATCAAATTTCCCTAGATCTGGGGAAAAACGATGAAAATATATCCTCTGACATTTCTTTTATTTATGATTTGACACCATGGAAAAGCTCGATTGAAAATTGCAATACTCTGTTAAACCTGAAATGTAAATAAAAATAACATTTTGATTGGTTGACATTTAGCTTTGTACACGTTTTTAATTTTATATATGGCAACGTTGCTTATACTTAATTTTTAAACAACTAGACGGAACGATTTCCATTTTTTCGCCTAATCATAACTTCTGATTGCTTATTTGACATTCAAGTTATGAACCAAAATATCTAAGAATAATAGTAAATGGTAAGTCACTTGAGTAATTTTATCGATTTTTTCCCAGATCTAGAGAAATTTGTAGACTAGGCAACACTGCATAAATTAATACGTGTTAATTCCCGAGAAACTTGTTATAAAATGACAACGCCGCTTATTTAGTAAACAGCCTAGATCCATAGGTCCTTAAACAGTTAGAATTTCCCCAGATCTAGGGAAAAACGAAGGGAATCTATATTAAAAAATGTCAAAGGCCGCCTGCCTACCTTGATTGTAACATTGAAATGAGCTTTAAGTTTTAAAAACTGAAGTGTTGGTTGAACAACCAACCCTAAAACATTACTAATTTTATATGTAACATTTGTATTTTCCGGTCTAAGCTTCTTATCGGTTATTTCACATTTAAGTTCACATAGACTAAAATGTCTAAGAATGACTTTAGATAATAAGCCACTTGGGTACACTTTTAACGATTTTCCCCAGATCTGGGGAAATTTACAGATTTCATAACAATGCATGAATAAATCTTATTATTGCCAAAAAACGGCAATGGTGATAAACGGCAACGTTGCTTCAGCACATAGCTATTAGTTAGTCTTTAATTGAAAAACAATAAAGTATTTGTTAAGTTTTAGTTATTTTAAAGTCAGACTTGACTACATATTAAAAAACAGCTCTGAAACGTTACGTTATTAATTTGATATGTAGCAACGTCATTTTTAAAGGAGCAATTTGAATTTTTCGGCCTAATAATAATTCTAATCGGTTGACATTCAAGTTTACATAGACCAAAATGTCTACAAACAACATTAGTAGATAGTACGCCACTTGGGCATAATTTCATAGATTTTTTCCCAGATCTGGGGAAATTTGTTGTGTAGATTTGGAAAGACCTTACAGCATAAATCAATCCGATAATTTCCCAGAAACTTGCAAAAAACGACAACGCCGCTTCTTCAGTACATAGCCCAGATGGACAGATACCAATCTTCCCATATCCGGGGAAAAATCGATAAAAGTATACCAAGTGGTTTATTATCTTTTGACATTTCTTTTATTTATGATTTGACACAATGGAAAAATCTCGATCAAAAACCGCAATAGACTGTTAAATTCAAAATGTAAACAAAAATAACATTTTGATTGGTTGACATTTAGCCCGGTGCACGTTTCTAACTTGACTTATGACAATGTTGCTTATATTTCATTTTTAAACAACTAGAAGTAGCGATTTGAATTTTTCTGTCCAATCGTAGCTTATAATTGGTTATTTGACATTCAAATTCACATAGATCAAAATGTATAGAATGACATTAGTAGATAGTAAGTCCTTGGGTACACTTTCATTGATTTTCCCCAAATCTGGGGAAATTTGTAGAGCAGACTGGCAACACTGCACCGCATGAATCAATCCATTTCCCCCAGAAACATGTCAAAAAATGATAAAGCCGCTTTTCTAGTACACAACCTAGTTTGATAGATTCAAATTTCCCCTTATCTGGGTAAAAATTGATAAAAGTGTACCCAAGAGATACTTTCATCGATTTTTTTACCCAGATCTAGGGAAATTTGTAGAATAATCTGGCAACATCGTACCGCATAAATCGATCCGTTATTTTCATAAAAAAAAGTCAGATCGCTAAATCCCTTTAGACAGATAAATTTCCCCAGATCTGGGGAAAATCAGACAACATCCATATTAAAAATTTCAAATGCTTTCCACGTTATAAAGTAATTATCTTTTAACAATGGGTTAACCCTACCCCGATTGTAACATTGAAGTCAGCTATTAGTTAGTCTTTATTTGAAAAATAACAAAGTTATTATTAAGTTTTAGTTATAGACACATTAAAAAACATTACGTTACTAATTTGAAGTTATGTACAATTCATTTTTAAAGGAACAATTTTAATTTTTTGGCCTAATAATAATTCTGATCGGTTGACATTCAAGTTTACATAGACCAAAATGTCTACAAACGACATTAGTAGATCGTACGCCACTTGGGCACAATTTCATAGATTTTCCCCAGATCTGGGGAAATTTGTAGAGTAAATCTGGCAAAACGACACCGAACGAATCAATCCGTTAATTCTTCAGAAACTTACCAAAAAAACTCCGCTTATTTACACAACTCAAATCGATAGATCCCTTAGATAAATACGAATTTCCCCAGATCTGGGGAAAAATTGATGAAAGTGTAGTTACATTGCTACTTCATTTGTTTTATCTATAATTTGATATAATACATACAATACTCTATGTTAAACCTGAAAAGTAAACCTAAATAACATGTTGATTGGTTGACATTTTCTAATTTGATATATAGCAACGCTGCCTATACCTTAATTTTAAACAACTTGAAGGAACTATTTCAATTTTTCTGTCCAATCCTAGCTTCTGATTGGTTATTCAAGTTCCAAATAGACAAAAAGTACAAGAACAACATTAGGAGATAGTAAGCCACTTTGGTACACTTTCATCGATTTTTCCTAAGATCTAGGGAAATTTATTTGTGATACATAAAGTCACGCTAAAATTGATCGAGGAATCCAAATATGCAATAATATACAGGGAGTTTCTATTAAAAAAACATAACTTTGATATAAATCACCCTGTAGAATAATTGTAATTTCATCGAAAATATTTTTAGGTTGTAGCGTTAAGAGGTCTTACACCATGCCCCAAAAATGAATTTTTAAAATGTACCTTAATAAACCCGCAATCTTTCACCCACGCACTAATGGCCCACCCTGTATAACTTTTTTGCTTATTGGTATGTGGTACAATTAAATTGCATTAGATAATACTTTAAATAAATATCTAATTTCGGATAGAAAGTAAGAATATTAAAGCAAATAGATGCGGTGTTGCCAAATTAACGAAAATAATAAGTTTTATTAATTTGGGGGTATTTCTTAAATATTTGTATGACATGTGGCACATAATTTGAAAGGTAATTTATAGAGTAATAATATGTTATAAAAATCCGAGGTAGTCGCCATAAGAAATAACAAAGTTACGTCAGATAACTCGAAAACAAAAAACAATTTGTAAAAAACTTTTCTACAAAAATATTCTTTATTAAAAAGTGTCTTGTTAATGTAACACTTTAAAATATGTCATATTGATTGTTAAACCGTCAGATATTTTTAGATTTTTTAAAATAAGTCAAAAACTACATAACTTTTGATAATTCTGAAAATGGATTCGAAATCAGCATTAAATTATCTAAAATATTCCCTATATAACCAACTTTGTATCTCCGATATTAAGGAAGATAGAGACTCGAATTTGGGACACAGTGTATTAAAGTTTGAGGGATCTTTATTATATAGAGCAAAAAAATACTTACTTGGAATCTCTGGTAAATGTGGCTGGGATTTAAACCAATCCTGTATCAACTCTACATCTTCTTCCAAATCTTTTTCGGTTTTATCGAAACGTTCCAAAATTTTCACTTTATTTTTTCTATCTATAATCAAAGATAGTTCCATCATCTTCCTTGTTAACCAATCGACAATCAAAGGATAACTAAACTGATATGTCAAAACACTTTGTATATTTATTTCGACGATCCCCACAACTACAAATTCTTTATTATGTCGATAATTTGTTTTGGTATAAATAAATGGTTCTTAAATCAATTTAATTATGCATGGGATTATAAATATTAGTATAATAATGTTGATTTTGTTGACAAATTCATGAGTGGGAATGTGGGGGGAATTAATTTAAATAAAAAAATTTAAATTGTTGTTGCAAGCAGTGGCAAAGATGAGGGGTGTGAGGGGGAGCAAAGGAAGGTGATTGCTCTGATTGAAAAGGATAAAAGGACGAAAAAAGAACGTCCAAGAATAGTTTTTAATTTACAAATTGATTAAGTTGCAAATTGGCTTTCTCTTAACAAAGTACTTTGATTAGAGACGTACACCGTTTGCATTTAAGGGCCTAAAAGGACTAAAAGGGCAATTTGCCTGGCTTAAGAAATAAACGAAGATTAAAATTACATTTTTATTAGAAAAAAGTCATTTTAAACTGCATTTAACTTCTAACTACTAGCGATGCAATTGGAGCTTAATTATAATTTTATAAAAAATGACTGGAACAAAAGTTGAGCATAATTATCTGAAATATGTAAAAAAGTTTAAACAATAAGGTTGTACAAACAAAAAATGAAACGTTTTCAAAGTTTTTTTAGACATGCCCTTCAAAATATTATATAAATATTTAAAATAATTACTATGGTAACTAAGTTGTTTGAATCTAGTATCTATTCCATTTAGTGCCTTTTTTTAGGTGGGAAAATGTTTGCAGCCTGGGTGTTGTTGGCTGAGTAGTGTAAGAGTCGCCGTGTGGTATATGCCATACTCACTAAAAACTCACCTACCTTTTCCTCGTCAGCGTATCATCGCAAGACATTCTTTCGGATACACCGCTCACTAAAAACTCACCTACCTTTTCCTCGTCAGCGTATCATCGCAAGACATTCTTTCGCATACGCCGGTGTGTTTTTTTATCTCTCTTCTGCCTCCCAGACGTTTTTCTATCTCTTTATTCTTCATTACTTTTCCTAAGAAGTTATTTGCAGCCTGCCATCCCTCCTTCGTCTCTATCATTATATTTCCAATGTTATCCTGCGTTGGGTACCTTCCTATTTCTTGTTCAAAATTCTTTCTTTCCATCTCCCATCTTACGCAAAAGAATAGGGTGTGATTTGAGCTGTCTATGTTGTCACAATACCGGCACCTATCGTCGTCTGTTTTACCGATCTTATGGGTAAATGTTTTAAATGATCCGTGCCCCGTCAGGGCCTGTGTCATGAAAACTTTTATGTGGGCATCTGTACCAATCCATTACGTCGGGTATAAGGACCTTGGTCCATTACGCTTTTTCAGTGTTAGCAAATCATTCGATTTGCCATTTAACTAGTGATCTGTCTCTTTGTTCCTTCTTTCTCTTGTTTCTTTGGGACCGTCTGCTAGTTTAAGTCTTTCTTCTACTAACAGGTGGATCGGGACTGTCCCTGTAACTACTTGGATTGCTGCTCCAGGAACCGTCCGGTAGCACGAGGATACCCTTGGTGCCGCCTTTCCATGGCCTTCCTGTAGGTTTGCACCTGCATTCCCTTTCCCCATAGTGATGCTCCATATAATAGTATACAGTGAACCACTCTCAGAAGTATCTACCTCTTCTTAGTTGCTGGTCCCCTAATATTTGGCATGATTCTTGCGAGTTTTCCTATCGTGTCATTGCCATTCCGCGCAGCTTCTTTAATTTGTGACCCATAACTTCCGACGTCGTCAGTGGTTATGCCTAAATATTTAATTTGCCTCTTGGGTGTCGTTGCAAGTACCCTTATTGCAACCTCTTCCCTTTTTCTTTTCCACCAGTGTCCTCTGAGGACTACCATTTCGGTTTTTTCATGGGCTTTCCAAATAAAAAAAATATTCTCAAGAAATTTCTCACTTCTTATGGTATTACCTTTGAAAATTTCCTTACACTATTAAAAAATGGCTCTTTTCATTTTGTAAAATGCATTTCTTCTCATTGGGCAATCAATTAGTAATTTTTTTAAAAAATGCAAATATTTTTAGTTCCGTTTATATTATGGCTTTTTGAATTACCAAACAATTATCATAATTTAGCAATGATTTCAAGATTTTAAAATTAACTAATAAGATTTATTATAATGTTTTTAAAAAAACTGGTAAATATTAAGATAATATTTGGCTTTTACACGTGTGTTATTTTTTCCAATACCTATTTAAAAAACATTGTTTATGGTTTTTTCTATGTTACCAAATCAACTTGATTTTAAATACCTAATTAAACAGGTAGATAGATGAAGGCGTTCTTAGTAAAATACGGATCTTTCTCTTATGTTTTTTGCATAAATTGGATTATATCTAATTATAGCTAACCACTATTTTGTTTTTCTTTATATATGACATCATCGTAGATATTTTTTAATTATATATTTATAATAATTCAGTAAACATAATGTTTCTTCCTATAGGTAACTGATTCGTGTGTCATAAATTTTAATCTTTTAGACATCGAAAATAATAATAGTAGATACGGTATCTTTGATATTATTAAATAGACTAAAACAAATAATAACAAAATTTCGGTATAAACAATAACAAACACTGAAGAAGAATTTATTTTGTTTAAAAAGATGTATTAAAATGACAATCAACATCAACAGCATCATTATGTATGTAAATTAACTTAAAATGTTTAAAAACTAGAAAAAAATATTTACGAAAATAAAGAAATTTATTAAAATTACTGAATATGGTAATAACAAATAGTTTATTTACTGAAAATTATATTTAGGTATATATTTATCATCAACTGTAAGTTAATTTGGAAAAATTCTTAAAAATATTTTTTTAATCTTCGTATTTTTGTTTTATTTTCCTTTTTTAATTTGTGATTGAGAGCAGTATTTATATATAAAAAAAAACATAATTTATTTACTTATTTAATTCATTTCAATTATTTTAAGTACGATTTATCAATGGTAACTACAATTTTTAAATACGATCCTGGTTTCTCCTCGCGAAGGCGTGTTTACCGGTGCACAAGCAAGGATATGACAACGGGTCTAATATGCGGGGCGATATATAAGGAGTGCAATCTAGGATAAAACGGACTTGCACACACAAACATAGACAAAACAAGCGTTTATATCAACGCTTGAATTGGAATGCACTGAAAACCGACATGAAGACGAAGATATGGAATTTTCGGAGGAAGTAGAAGAATCTATGGAATCTGAAGACGAAGTATTGGACATTACTGCAACTTCACCACAGGAAGTCAAGGACATACTCAAGTTGGTGTCAGCCAAAAAAGCGCCAGAGTATGACGGGATTTCAAACCGCGTACTAAAAAATATACCATTTAAAACCATCGTTTTCTTAACCGATGTAATAAACACAATCTTAAGACTTCATTATTTCCCTAACAACTGGTAAAACGCGGATGTTATAATGATTAAAAAACCAGGTAAAGACCCCAAGTTCCCACAGAATTATAGACCAATAAGCTTATTGCCTGCGCAATGAGCAAAATAGCGGAACGAGTAATATTAAGAAGACTCAAAGAAGAAACCGAAACGTTATATGTCTTACCTGACGAACAATTCGACTTCACAGAAAGACACTCCGCGGAATTACAGGTATTAAGGTTAGTAGAGAGAATCACGCAGGGGTTCAATACTAACAAGTCAACGGGAGTTGGTCTTTCTAGAGGTCAGCGAGGCTTTCGACAGAGTCTGGCACACAGGACTAATATACAAACTAAAATACTACGGGTACAGAGGAGCAATGACAAAGCTCCTCTAGTCGTACTTAGGTGAAAGGCAGTTTCGTGTCAAGATAGGTTCCGCCTTGTCTAGATACGCAACTCTGGAAGCAGTAGTACCACAGGGGGTACATACCACAAACAAACAACACCACGACATCTATGTACGCCGACGACACAGCGATCGCTGCCAGAAGTACCAACACAGGTATGATATCCTGATACTTGCAAGAAGCAGCCACCGAAATCACTTGGACAACAGACGACATGCGTTGCACACTGTTGGCTCAACTGGTCACCACCAGAGGGGACCAGATGAGCACTCACTGCGCAACCGACATACAACAACGCACCAATCAAACCGCGAAAGTATGAAAGAGAAAATGAGTGCATAAGAGATATAGGTCTTCAACCGACTCTTATTAAATGACGATAGCGCTCAAACCTTCATCACTCATTTGAAGGTATGGGGTGCCAATCAATTGCTATTGACATGTGGACCATGCAGCGGATGAAAAAGCATGAGGGTGGATTTATGGGTCTAGCACAGTGGTCGCCAACCTGTTGATCGCGAGCTACCGGTAGCTCGCGGAGGCAATTCTGGTAACTCTCACAACGATTTTAATTTAAAAAATACAAACTGCAAAAATCAGAGAAGCTTCCGAAAATTCCACAAAAAATCTAATTGTCATAATATTAAACATAAACAGCGGCAATGTTGCGGTGAGCGATCTGCCGCTGACGCCATTAAGCTAGAATCGGCTAGAACCGACCAGCCGGACCAGCGCGTTAGTGTTCGAGAACGATCAGGATTGCTTTGAACGGGATAAATACGCACGGCGCGGCGACATTGCGCTTAGTTTAAAACTGAACGCGTAACCATCGTCTAGCGGTTGGGTTAGTAGAGAACAACAAAAAATAATATTATGGCAAGCAGTTGTAAGAAGTTAAAGACATACCACTTTCATTCGGAATGGGAAGAACAATACTTTTTTACAGAAGTTAAAGATAAAAATGTGTGTTTGTTATGTAATACTTCGGTCTCCGTTGCTAAAAAAGGAAATATTGAGAGATATCATAAAACTGTACATTCTAATTTTGAAAAATCATTCCCACTACATTCTGCCGCCAGAAAGGAGAAACTGAAAAAGTTAAAAAAGCAGTTAATTGGACAACAATCAATATTTTTAAGAACAGTCGACAAAAATAAGGCTGCAACTGAAGCATCGTACCGTGTGTTCCAGATAATTGCACAAAATAAGAAACCTTATGAAGACGGGGAAATGATAAAACAGGCGTTTTTAGAAGCTGCTGATTCGTTATTTGCCAACTTTAGAAAAAAGACGAGATAATTTCAGCTATAAAATCTATGCAACTTTCTGCTAATACAGTGATGAGACGTGTAGAAGTAATGAGCAATGATATTTTTTTACAGTTAAGAACTGACTTAGATAACTGTGTTTATTTTTCACTTCAACTGGATGAATCAACAGATGTCGTTGACACTGCCCAGATGGCCGTGTTCGTCAGGATGGTTTTTAGTGATTTTACGATTAAAGAAGATCTTTTGAAGTTTATTCCACTGAAAGGACACACTACTGGACAGGAGTTGTTTTCTCATTTAAAAAATATTATTTCTTCCGAGAAAATTCCAATATCGAAAATGGTAGGCTAGACAACCGATGGCGCTCCAGCTATGGTGGGTTGTGATAATGGTCTGGTGGCGTTATGTCGTAAAGATGAAACTTTTC